CCATTTTTGGGTGACTATTTAGCTTCTCCGGGCTATGATTAGCCTTGCCGGGGAATAATTGGCTGTACCATGGGATAATTGGCTGTGCCATGGAATAATTAGCTGTGCCGTGGGATAATTGGCTGTACCGGGGGATAATTACCTAAACCGAGGTTTAATGTTATTTCAAAGATTCTGAATTTTGTTGATTGCATTACTTGCAGATTGAAAGTCTAGAAAACAAAATTTTTTTTTATTCTTCTTTTTCAATTGGTTTGGTAGCTTACACAATGAAAATTTATTTTGATAGGTAATGCACACAAAGGTTGTTATGTTCATATGTATATATAGTCATGAATCCCCCAGGTTCAAATTTTGTAAACATCTTGGATATCCTAGTCTTGCTTCAAGACTGTGGATCCCCCACCCCTTATCTACTTCTCCAGTAAAGTAGATAGGGAGGGGGTCCAGGGTCTAGAAGCAAGGGTATATATATCCAAGGAATGAATATTTCATACCTTGGAATACATGGCTTAAGTCAATGCTCAAAACCCTAAAATTGTGTCAAAGATTAATTGCCCTGATTATAACCAGTTTGTAACAGATTTTGGAAATACTGTACCATAAAAATAAAATTCCATACTTCTGCACTCATAATAATCAATCCTTCCACAAAAGGTACAGAAGCATTATGAAAATATTTTGTACATAGCACATAAGGTTATAGCCAACTATTGATTAACAATATTGAGATAAATCTTTCATCTTTTATCGAAATAATTAATATTCAGAAACTTGGCATATTTTCAAGTATTTTAGATGACAATTTCAAATGCATAAAGCACTAATTCTTTGAACCAGAATATTTTTAATGAAGTCATTCAATCATTCAATCTCTAATTTTAGCGCTAGCACAGATTGCTTGATTCAGCCATGATACAAAATACCATTAAGCTGATACGTATTATAATAAAGTTGTGGGCTTCGAAACATTAGATTTTTGAACACATTTTTACTATATCTCCAAGAAAAGGATGATGTCATGAAATCATATGTACGTGTACATTATGTAAACTCTCGGTACTTAGGCAATCAAATATGGACTGCAGTTAATTTGTACTTGTAGGAGTACTTTGCCAATATTTAGGAAATATCTAGCTTCAACTTTATTTAAATATCATTTAGATCAGATTTCAGAAATTATAATTCCATTGATATGAAAATTTTTTATAATCCTTATTATGCAATCAACAAGGTATCTACATGTAAGTCTATAGACAGGATGCAATCAGAGTGGCAGTTTATTTAAGAGTTGTTTTGATTAATGATTATTGTAGTTTGTGTAGATTCATGGAAAAATAGTATACATATGTATGTTGTGACCATTCATTTTATGTTTTTGGTTTCTATATTATACCTTTATCTCATATTGATAATATATCATCTTAATCAATCAAGGTATTGCATATGATATACTGGACTGGCATAACCAGGACCTATGACTCCAGTTTAGAGATTCAAATGTAGCCTGTCAAAATAACTGAAAATTATAAGGGATTCATGCATCATTACTTGACCGGGGGTTCGCACGAACCCCTTGAACCCCTGATAGCTACAGGCATAGGCCAGTGCCAGCAAAGATATGCTATATTTTGTCCAGGGTACATGTACTTACTAACTAACTACATGTACATACTAACTGACCATTTGATATTGATTCATTAATATTCTGAAAATGTGATTTACTCTTCAATTGGCCAACTCAACAGATTGTTGATGATTATATTTCTTCAAGACTCATAAAAAACGATGTCAAAAATACCTCAATGGAAAGATATTATATTAAAAATGTTGAACATTTAGGAATAATTTGTTCACGCAAGTTGCACTGAGAACTTTGCCTTCATTTAAACCTACTAAGCCAAAATTAAACATACACCACACTGATATATTTACATTTTTGTCATGCAATATTTTTCAACAATTGAATATAGTATTTTACAACAGTTGATTTGTATTATTTTTATTTAGTGTATAGTAGTCTAATTTTAGCTTATTTTACAATATATTATAATACTAGACACAAAAATGAGACAAAACTATGTTTCAATATCAAGCCCATGGTTACAAGTGACATACATTATGATGCACCATTTGAACAAATAATTCAGAAAACTAGTTCAAGTCGGATTTTAATAAAATTTGCGCTTTTTGTAAAAAATTTACAATGCCATGCATTACAGATTGTCCCAATGTCCTTTTTTGGTGTATGGGGTGTGGGTTAACTGTGTCGTGAGATAATTGGCTTTGCCGTCGGATAATTAGTTAAGCCGGGGGATAATTAGCTGAACCGGGGGATAATTGGCTGAACCGGGGGATAATTAGCTGAACCGGGGGATAATTGCCTCAACCAGGTTTAATATCATGTATGAAAGTTACAACTTTAAAGCAAATTCAATAAAAGTTTATAAATGGAGATATTGAACCATAAATAACCAAACTGGACTTCTTTACATTAAACCTACATGTACCTTTCTATCAAAGGTACAAGAGCCTTACGAAAATATTTTACACAAAGCACCTAAGTAGGTTAACAGATATAATAATAATTACAATATTGAGATACATTTTCCATCTTCGTCAAAATTATCAGCAAAGAAACATATTTTAGGTGACAATTTTAGCTTGACAATTTATCATTTATTCATACATACTCTTATTCATTGTTCTAGAATAACTAATTTCAAAAAGTTTATTTGCAAACTAAATGTAATGTCTCATGTAAAGGTACATATAAGATGTCTCAAACTTAATGCTAAAAGAGCAGAATTTCATGAACAGGGAACTGACAAGTTCATATAATTTGAAGATGTTTCCATAAAATCTTGGGGTAGGAGAAATCTTAGTTGGTATATGTTATGATAATAATTATTGATAATATAATTCAATGATTATATGACTTAGAATTTAATCTTGACATTTACCTTACAATTATGTTTCAGCATATGTTTTATTGTTGACTGTTGCTTTGTCATTTTCTAGCAACATGGAAAAGGTGTCACAATTTATGGCCAACATATGTTCATGATATTTAGGAAAGGGAGAAATATGAAGAAACCTTTAGTAACAACAATTCCAAATAGGTTTGAACATGAATAGGATAAAGATTTATATGTCAGAGTCCTATACCCCAACAATTTTAATAAGTTTATTACAAGGTCGTATCTATACCCAAGAGTAAAGTCCTAGAACTCATGTTAAAGAGGTTGCTTAATTAATGAAAAGATTAGTTTTTTGTCGAAATATTGAAAAGGAAAAAATTGACACCATCTCTATTGAAAGCCAATGTTTGATATAAAAACTATACATATGTAATTCTAAGTCCTGTAGATTTGCTGATTATAGATTTTGTTTTTTGTTTTATCCTTCACAGAGATATATATAATATACTGGGTGTTTCATAATGAATGTCCCCCCATCTATCGCCATTTCTAGATGACAAACATCCATGCGTTATATATCATATGAAAGCATGTTCAATTCTTGACTTATTGAAACAACTTTGATTAAGCTCAGTAGCGTTTACCACTTGCTAAATATCACTACAAAAGGTCTCTATTTGATCTTTGGCATATAATCAAATAGTCATATTTTCTGTAGCTGTGTGTTCTGTTAAAAGCAATGATAACCAAGGTTCAGAACAGCATTATCTCCAGGAATGTACCAATTGTAGCACTTGATGGATCCTGAGGATAAATCTTAAAATTTAAAAGAAAAATTCATTATTTTAAAGCTCTTAATGATACAATGGATTATATAACTATCTGCTCCTTTCTTTCAACCCTTCGTGAATGTAGGCCATTAATCTAGCAAATTAGGGTGATGATTACTACCAAACATAAGTTCAAAGACTATGTTCCCAAAAATCAATTATGCCAATATTTAGTTCATAAGACAAGAACTGAAGGAGCTTTACGGTGATATACAGACTAAGGGGTCATGTGATTTAGGATTGACTGTAGATAGGACAGTCAGTATGAAACATCCTGTACAGTGTATATAGCAATGTGTGAAATCAAAAATCAAATTACAGATGGAAGCTTGATGATCTGATGAGCAGTGATTTATGAATTTAAAACATTACGATTATTTGGGATATGACCACAATATGTCATAGCTGTGGTGAGATATTGATAATAAAATTATGGGCAGATATCTTCTTTCTAAGAAAACTGTTAACAAGACGTCACAATTCTCATAATAGGAATAGAATAATTGTAACTGTATTTCCAAACCTTAACTAGCATTGCCCTCTATACACAAGCAAAAGAATTATTCAGTGACAAGGGCTTGCCGAGGGGAAGCCGGGGGCATCAACTTTGGAAGAAATTCTGGGTGTGCCGGGGGAGCGGGGGCAACCAACCCCGGCAATCTAAAAGTCAATGAGAGTTTAACATGTCCCCCAAACCGGGGCCCCGGCCAACCCCTGTCACATCTGACGGGGGCAAATGACCCCGGTAATCTTTTGTTCTCTACTAAATTGACATGGGCGTTTACTGGTGACTGCCCCCAAATGCCCCTGGGACTTTTCATAAGGGTTGGGAAGAAATCGACTCTGGAGCTAACAATTTGAGGGTGAAAATTGTCGTGTTTTGCATTTTCAATTAAATTTAATCACTTCCTTACATGTTCTTCACACATCTCAGCAACTAGTTGATGGATTGCTACCATTTTAGGTAAGTTTACTCTGTAGTGTTGTTTGAATCAGCATGTCGATTATTGAAAGGATTCCATATATTTTTACTTGATATATCTAACAACTTATAAACAATCATTTTCTACAAATTTCAGGTAGCATCAAAACCGACCACCCTTTTTACTATTAATAAGCAGTAGACTCATCGGAGGGCTTGCCCGACGCCTCGAGACAAGCCCCTGTGCTCTCAAGTTGAACACTTTTTAGAGGTACCAAATATATTCCATTTAGACAACTTTTACTGTATGCTATGTAAAATACTTACACTGTAAGGGCTGTGAGTCAATTCTACAAGATTTTCTTTAGCTTGCTGTTCAGCAAGTTTTGCTTTTAAAAGTTCATCTTTTAGTTTCTCATATTCATAGGTACGTCTTTCATAGTCCTCAACAATTTTCTGAGCATTCATTTCTGCCTCTCGGGCTCGCTGTTCCATCATTAATTTTTCTTCTTCTTGCTGAAAGAAAAAAAAACAAGGCATTAAAATGCAAAATGTCACAACTTACCACCTACAGATGCAGATGCCAAACGCTGACTGCTGATCAACAACTGCCAAATGCCAAACACCGTTCACAAAAAGTTGGAGACTATAACAATATGTCACTTCTTGTGGTGTTGACATAATAATTTCAAAACACAAAGTTTACCAAAATTATTACTGAATCTGGTAAAATAAAAGATTTTATACTTTTAGAAGACATGAATTCAACATGAAAACGCAGTAATGAATGTGTTAACAAGATGCTCAGACATGGATTTATTACTTCCTGCTAAAAACGTCAGAATGTACAAACTTATGTGTAACGTTTTACCATATTAGAATTCAAAATGTCTAGTTTGAAAATTCCAAGATTACAATTGAGTTCTATGAGAAATATGTCAAAATGTACAATATGTCGAAAAACATGACATGATTGTAAAACAATCATTGCGAGAAGAAGATAGGCCTTTTAGTCAAGAAAAAAGACTTTTTATAAGAAGTCACAGTGTTTGAAAGGGCCATATTCTAAAGTACTTTTATTTCTAATTATGGGTGCAGTTTATAAAACAGGTATTAAGGTAAGAGGCAATAACCGCAGTTAAAACCTTAGAGCATCTTTTAAAATGAGAGACATCCGTACCTTCATGGCTGCAAGCTTTATCCTCTGCAACTCAGATTCCTTTTCTGCGGCCTTCTGCATGACTAGTTTTGTTTCCTCTTCAGCAAGGCGACTTTTCTCGTCTAAGATTTCAGCAGTTTCCTCAGATCGCATCTGTAAAGTTATTCAATAATTAATATTTTTGAAGTCCTGAGAGTTTTGCTCCTTTTCTCAGACTTGGTATTTCTAAACATGACCCTCTACATAACAGTGTCTCCAGGTCCTCCAGTTCATTTTGAGCACTTTTCAAGTGATTCTGGGCCAAAGTTGTCAAGTGTGAGCCCCCTGGAATTTTTTGAAAAGTGAACCCCCTTGGGAAAAGCTGGGTCTCCAGCTCTCGGCATGATTTAATTGAAGTTAGTGTTCTATATCACATTAACCCCTTTATATATTTATTTCAAGCATTTTCTACTCCTTTTTGCTGATTTTGTATTTTAAAACATGACCTGCAATTTGAAGTGTCTAATTTTCCTGCATTTCTAAACAATAAAGGGTATAACCTAAATTCTACGCCTAAAGACAGATTTTGTATTTTAAAACATGATTTGATTGGGAAATAAGTTATTTGAAATGTCTTATTTCCTGCATTTGAATACAATTCAGATATATTGCGAAATCCCCCCTCCCCCTATTTTATATTTCGGTAATTCCCCTGGTTTTCAATTTTTGGGCATGTTTCCCCTCCACTCACCAGTGCCTCTTGTGCAAGCCTGACCTCCTCCTGTAAGTGATTGATCTTTCTTTCCATGTCTTCCTTCTCATTGAGAGCATCCTCCCTTAACTGTTTCTCCCTTGCTAGCTTTGCTCTCTCTTGCTGAAAAAATATATCAAGCTGTTTACAGATCTAACGAGTCACATTTAAATACTTTAGCAGCTTATTGAAAAACTTAGATTTAAATTATTGCCAGAATGCAGAGCATATCGACATAAAATGACATAAATCAAATTGCCATTAAGTCATTTTCAATCATTTAACAACAGACACTTCTTCAATTTCTTGAAAATATGACTTGAAAAGTTGACTGTGCCACAAAGAATAATCATACCCGCTTTCGCAAAAGTAGTTTCAAATTCCCCGCAAAAAGAAGAGCAAAAGTTAACAAAATGCATTGCCATTTCAATGCTTTAAATTAATGACAGACACTTCAATTTTCGTGAAAATATGACTTAAAATTGACAGTGACACAGGATGATGTCATACCTGTTTTCGCAGCTTCTCATCTTTTGCCTGAGCTTTCATTTGCTGTATTTCCATTGAGTCTGGTTTCCGCCTCCTCATATATAATTCATGGTTACCGACACACAATTCTAATATCTGAAATAAAGACCAAATCATGCTATAAATTGTGTTGAACCCAATCTTGATTTTTTCTTTTTAATAACTCAAAGCTAATTCAAATGAAATTTATTCAGTCTTATTTTGTCATGCAAAATACTGAGAAATCTAAAATGCATGAAAATTGCTGAAGCGAATTCATAAATGTTCAATTTTACTAAACTCAATAGTGTTACATCAAGTCCCCTGTATCCCCCACCCAGACATTATACCAAACCTACTAACGTACATGAATGCCCAGAAGACTCCATTCATGTGATAGATGAGATGGAGAAAGTGAGAATTGAAGTTTGAGACATTTAGACTACTCTTTTTATATTGCTTACCAGTTTATTTGCTTGATGCTTGTCAGAGAAGAAGACAAAGTCAGGTGCCTTCTTGTCAACTGGCTTAATGGTAAACTGGAAATATGAAATATACATATACAGAATATGACAGGGAAACAACAATACTATTATAGGCTGTCGGAATGATGGCCCAAAAATTACTGGAATGGGAAAAAAGGCCCGTAGCTAAATCATGAAGTTTTGGGCCAAAATTGTCAAATGTAAACCCCCCTTGACAAAAGCTCACTACGGGCCTTGGAAAGGGTGTATTAGAGTAACTGGTCCACTTGCCATGATTGCTAACAAGTGGATCTCAAAATAGGGGACACAGTTGACACAATGTACAGTATGGTGACGAAAAAGATGACCCTGATATCTGACTTGGCCCTGTAACATGTATTGCATTGCATATTCAACATTCATGGTTCTTTACTTTTTAATTTTTATAACTTAATTTACAAAGTAGAAATTTGTGAATTCTATTGTATCATTAGATTTACCAGATATAAGATCACATGGACTTGTATGTGTATAGTATCATTCAGAAACGTATTAAAGAGACTCACTTTTTTATCCTTAAACTTAATATTTTTAATTTCTCCCCAAGGGAAGGTCACTTTTGGCGAGAGTTTATTATCGAGTTCATAAATGTTCATCCCCAAGGCATCTACTCCTAGCCAGAGTTCACTGTCACGCTTATTCTGGAAAAAAAACATGTACATTCAGACATTACGAGGTATATGAATTTTTCTACTTACTAGCTATTTAGCTTTCGATATATTGTGTAAGGTACAACAATTTGTTGGCTCAACATAATGATCATGCTATTTCAGTTTTAAGAGTTTTTCATCAACAATGTGTCAACTTCTAAAAAAAGTTTTTTAAGGCCGTTCTTCATAGCATTACTTAATGAAAATAACAATTGAAAGGGCTGGACCTACATGTTGCTAAATACATGTACACTAAGCGTTGGGGTAAATACAAGAAGCACTGTGAGATAGTAAGCTGTAACTTGTGAGAGGTATACAATGGGTATCCATACTAAGCTGTACTAACATTGTATAAGGAGTATACAATATGTACACATATATTTTGTACACATGTACTATGCAGTAAGAAATTTACAATATGTATACAAAGTTTGCTACAATAAATGTGCAATACAGAGGGGTTTCATTAGCAGCAGGCGATTTTCATTGGTTGTTTTCACAAAATTGTGTAGGGGAAAATATGTGTAGTGTACAATGTACATGCACTAAGCAGTAAGAAGTTTACAATAAAGTAAGCTGTAAGAAATTATATACGAGGGATGATTCAAAAGTAATGGACAACATTTTATAGGCAAACTTAACATTGTCCAATCAGTCTAAAAAAATTCTGTCCATTACTTTTGAATCACCCCTCGTACTTTCTATGCTTTTATAATTAAGCAATGAGTGGTTCCCAATATGATTGTAAATGCAGAAAGTTGTAAAAATACAATTCTCACATTAAGCCGGTGTTACCCGTTGTTCTCAAAGTACATGAAATTTTTCTCAATCTATCAAATGATAATTAAATTGGCAGTTTTATAATGCTGATGTTAAATTAGTGTTCCTGTGTTAAAGGATTATAAGCTGAGTTTAGCTTTGGCCTCATTTTTCTCAACTTGATCTTTGGGTAAAAACATCAGAATTTCAACTCTACAAAATGTCTACTTCTAAGTCCTTTTTGTAATCGCTGCAAGGTGTTTACATCCAAAGCAATGGAGAGTTTACAAAAATGCACACATATAGCTAAAAGAAGCATACACTATCCACACATACTTAATTGTAGCATTAAACCTTTTAATTAAACATATACAAAAAAGTACATGTACTGCTATAGGGATCATGTACATAATGTGTGCACATATTTTAAAGCTTTGGTGATCTGAGGATAACTCATAAAAGCTGCACTGATATCAATTGAGTCATGTCTTAAATACTACAACTGTTTTTTCCATTCGTTAAGGTAAAATATCACACTTTGTAGCATTTATCCACTTTAAGTTTAGGGTTCTGAACAAATTGCTTGGAGATTAAAAACATTGAAGTGGAACTCTGGGAGCCAATCCTCCTTGGTGTTTATCAAAAGTGAATGATCCTCGTTTATTCCATTCTGTTCCACTGTAATTCACATTTAAAACATGACCTTTTATGCAAGAATTCTATATTCTACTCACATATGGCTTCATCTTCTACAACAACATGCATGTTACCATGGTGACATTAATTAATGATGATGTAAGATGTCATGGTGATCATCAAAATTACCTCTGTGTTTACAATTAATTTTGTATTTGGAGCAATGACATGGACAAAGTGAAAACTGTTTAAACAATAAAAACACTCAAGAACAGGGTTCTCACTAGGCTTTTAGACTCAGAAGATTCTCCAGGGTGAGAACCCTGAAAAGTGTCCAATTTACAATTAATAACTGTCAGTTTGCACCCCCCCCATCCCACTTTAAAATATCCATACATTGTACATGAAGAAAAAGAAATCCAATGAGCATCTTTGAAGAGACTGAGCAGACAATGATAGTAAGCTTGGATATAAAGGGCCTTTCCAGTGTTCATGCACAATCACTTTACTTTAATCTGAACATTAAGCATGTGTACTGTATGAGAACTTTGTTATAAGGAGATAAACCTATGGTTAAAATTAGGTATCATATTACTTTATAATATACTGAGGTAGTTTTAATGGTTCCCATCATGCTACTTAGAAATTAGTAAGGTTGTTGATTCTAATATGTGTATCAAATTATTCATCCTCATAATATATAATGTATATTTCACCGATCACGAAAAAAAAACATTTAACATGCACTATGATTACTACGATTTAGTCTAGTCAAGTGCAACACCCCCCCCCAAAAAAAAAAAAAAAAACCTGAATTCAACCCTTCAGTGCATGAGCCAATGAGGGATGGTGTTAAAATGTCACCAACTGAGCAAACCCCAGAAGAGAAACTACCTCTTTCAAGTTTGCTATCTCAATTTTTTTCAATACTTTTTGAGTGATTTATTTATTTTTCATTGATTTAATTAATATAAATATTCAACTGCTGGTTTTAATTTCTTGGTGTCATCTGGAAAAACACTCGCCTAACTATGAATTGCTAAATTTGAAGAAATGCTGATTTCCATTGTCAACAATTCACAGAACAGAACACTGTTTAAATTTGAAAACCATCCCTAAATGGCAATGGGTTGTTCAGACAAGTGTAGAGAACAACCCAGAATTTAAAGAAGAACCTGTATTAATACAAACATGCACCTTTAAGTTTGAGGATATGAAGATAGGTTCACTGATGAACTCTGGGTTATTTTACCCTCTGGTTTAAGAAATGTGCTGAACCATACCTAATAAAAAGTAATATTCATTTTATGAAATTTCAAATGCGCTCAAATTATCAATGTGATCATATCTTTATCATATGATTTCTCTCTGAACTATACTGAACTCCCAACTTTCCCGCATTTCTTCATGCCAGATTTTATAACTAACCTGTATTGGGAAGTAATTCACGCCATACATCTCTAAATCTACTGCTATTTTCAAGTATTCCATCTCTGCTTCATCTCTGAAACAAGTAACATTCAACCATGTAGTGAATAACTAAATAAATCAAGGATGAGAATCAGTGGTGGATTTTGATTTAGGGAATGGCCCATGGGAAAAATTTTTAAAATTCTGTCATCCCTTAATGACAGCCTGTAGTTGAGTACTTGTGGAGTGTTTCATTTCTTCTTAAAATCCCAGATCAGCTCAAGTAAGCCTTATATGGGGTGGTTGAGTAAGCAAGTTGTTTTAAAGAAATTGAACATTATCTCAAACCCATAGTCCCAAAAGGAGACTTTTTTCCTTTGTGCTGTTCATCTTACCTAATTGCATATCGCCTATATGGCACATGGTCAAGATTATATTTAAGAAAAATGGTTGTAATTAAGTCCCTGCATAATCAAACAAAGAAGGGGACAACAATCCTCTGAGTTCTCCTTTTTACAAAGAACTAATTACTTAAGTTACAACCAAGAGAAAAGTAAGAATAAAATGGGGAAATAACTTGATTAACAAACCTGGCCATTCCCTTGTGGTCCGCATACCAAGTGCGTATCCTCTCTTCCCACATATCTGGCGTCATCTGGTATTGGTCGATAACCCTCTGGGGTAGAAGTTCCTCAGCCACTATCTCTCCCTGGTAGTTATTCTCATCATAGTCGCCGTACTGGAAATGACATCATTTATTTATTATTATACAAGGGGTCTCTGGAAACTCTTTAGCCTCATTCTTAAGCTATGAGGCAACTGCTTATACTTAACAAACTGCAACCTAAATTACTATAATCTAACATCTCTTTTTCACATCAATTCATGTGTAATCAGGTTTATCTAACATAGATAATTGTTATGAAAACAACTACTTCAAATTGGTAACAATAAAGTTCATTTCCTTATAAATGATCCTAAACAAAAAGAAATGCTACCTTTGCTTGTACTGCATAAGATGCTAACAAAACTGATGCCTCAGGTGCGCAGTATATATCCATGTTGAGTATTGATTGCTTGATTTGCAAGAAAAATAAATGCTGCGTGATTTCTTGGATCAACTCATCAACGACGATCTCTGGGAAAAATTTGGCAAGGTATATGAGAGGTAGAGGGCGCTCCGTAGGGACATCCTGGTCTAGAACCTAATAGAAAAATAATATTCAATAATGACTGAGTAAAATTCACATGAAGGATTGTGTCTGATTGTAAACAAATTTGAAAATTATCAATTTTGTATTGGGTTCCAATCTAGAGATGATTCTTCCCAACAAATAATTACATTTTACACATTTTTCACTTTTACAGTAAATCCTGTCTAAGTGGAACACCTTTGGTACCTCTAAAACGTGTTCCACTCGGAAGCTGTTCCACTTATAGAGGTGTTAGGTCAGTTGGTTTTGGGACTCTGAAAAGTGGTCCAATGACAGAAATGTTCCACTTTTGGAGGTGTTCCACTTTACAGGTTTCACTGTAAATCATTCATTTGTTGAGTGGGACATGACTGTATGTCTAGGACCTTGGCAATAGTTGCATTAACATTCAAAAATATCCATTATGCTCACTGATACAATTTATATTCCCTAAGGTTATGTACCGAAGGGATACATGTAATAACTTATTTATGTATGTATTGCAATTTGCATAGTGGGCAAATATACCTGTTGCATCTTAAATAAATAGAAATACATGTAGACGGTTGTTTTATATTGTGAAATGTACCTTTTTATCTGGTTTCAACCAAGCGACACCACCTTTACGATCCAAATACTGCAGTCCAAAGTACCAAGTCTCTCGAAGGCCTAATGTGCGACATACTAGATCAAACAGCTCCTTCCCAGTAATTTTGTACTGGAATATAAACAATTTATATGTTTTATTTTCAAACATTTGATAAATCCTACCAAGAAAATCTAACAGCACTGTGTTTATAAGTCCTCAAAACAATCAATCTTCAACAGTGCTGCAAGATATTGTATGGGCTACAGTACTGTACAGTAGTGGTTGGAAGTCTGACTCGTGTACTCGAGTTTTACTCGCAATTGTCCTAAAAATCAATTGATCGAGTTGAAAACTTGAACTCACGATTTGAAATTTTTACCCAAAAAATATTTTTCACTCGTTTTCACCTTACCTTGACTCGCGATTCGTCTAGAGCAATTTCCATGCTTATAGTTGTAATGTTCTGCTTAATCTGTATAGAATACAACTTATTTTCTATTTAATGCCATGTGCGGAAGACAAACATACTTGGATTTTATTCTGCGTTCGTTATTTTTATGCAAAAGTTTCATTTCCGGTTTGATGCATTCTGGGAATATCCAACAGCCGGGAATTTTAAAATTTGTCTACCGCCGTGCATCCTGGAACTTTCTGGATTGACGAAGTTTGTTTTCACTATTTATCCGTTAAGTTTTACTATCTATAGGGGACTAGGGGTGAACTTTAATGATCTATAGGGATGTGCAATACGATTTAGACAATAAAAAGTATAGAGGCACTTGAAAGACTTGATCAAATTGATGAATTCTGCCGCTACTTGGGAAACTGAAACCGGAAGTAATTCAACTAAGTCAAATCCCGAATATAATCGTGGTTTTTCATGGCCCACTCGAGTGGAGATTTTCAGGCGAGTCCGACCACTACTGTACAGTACCATAAATATGATACGGTACGGTACTATAGACTAAAAAGTACCATATGGTACCATACTCTTACCACAGTGCCATCATCCCAAAATGCAGATTGGGGGTTTATAACTTAACACGAATTGGCTGTAAAAGAAGTTGCAAATGAGGCTATGAGGTTAGGGACAGAGTAAATTTGTTCTTATGGGAACAGACTGACAAAGTAATTTTGTTCTTATATCTTTTTATTAGCACCTGAGAAACATCTTTATTTTTGTCAAAGATCATTATAAAACTTGTCATTGTTTAATTAAACCTCTACTTACCTCTACATTGAACTCTAATTCTGCATCCATGGTAGTCACTCGCACGGGGAGTGACTTGGATGTTTGAGATCTCTTCAAGCGAACAAATGGCATGGTTGGGCATATCTCTTTTATCAATTATAACAAATGTATTGTCAGTGTTTATTTCTTCACTTCAAACAATCCATCAATTCAAGTCCTAACAGCGCTGCTTTGGTTTCCCACTAGCTAAATTTATGTCCAGATCTTATCCGAGAAAAATAACAAAAATTAAAATGTCTCAAAATTGTAATCTCGTCGTATATACAGCTTTCATTTATGCGTATATTTGTAATGTAAACATAAATCAAATGAATTGCAACACATAAGGTTATACAAGACCATCGTGTCGTCTTAAAATTCACATAATCAGAAAGAAATTCTTTGAATATTTTAAACCGGAAATGGAATCCGCCAAAGATGATGAGTAATAGTCACGAAATAGTATTCCGATATAGTAATCACGAAATTAATAGACTTTCGTTTTTTCGAGAATCGAGACCAGTTCGTGGCCGTGGCTATATATATATTAGCTCATATTATATTGATTAGATCGAACTACCATTTCAGATGAGCGAGAAATACCCGGGGAAATAAACTAAATCTTGCAAAAAACTGAGCCCAAACCAAATCCAGAAATTACCAGTCACTTTCTTTATCAGGAGAGCTGTCAACACATCTGATAAGAAGTGTTCTAAGCAGCTCTAGTGAAACTTGATGCTATGTTTTGGCAATACAAGATGCAGCCTACTTGTAAATAAAATACAGTTATCCATGTACGTAATATATGGTTCAACAAAAAACAACAACTAAATATGAGAAACTTATGTGGTATATGCCATGTTTATGTGTCTGATCATATAATCATGAAATTATCCATCAATTTCTTAAGAAATTGGCGAAATTAAGGAAACCAGAAAACACATTTGATGAAAGGGCGGTGTTTATAGCCTGTATGAAATGCCCCTGCATTAACGCTCACATATATGAGTTTTAAACATTAACTTAGTAGACTAAAGTGTTGATACGAAATCTCAGTAATAGTACCAGTTAGGAGATAAGGTGATGTCCGATTTAACATTACGATTGCTGGATATGCATTTTTAAGGGCCCAATTGATGGGTCTTTTTGGGTATAACTGGGCCTTTATTTTATCATATTTTATAATTAACAAAAAAGGTTCAAGTAGTGCTGGAAAAATGCTAGGATGAAAAAATAGAGTCCTAAAATGTTGGCTCGTTGAAAGTTTTGACCCAATTAATCAGTTCTAAAAATATGGACCCAATTTTTAAAATCTATGCCCATTTCAGAAGGCCCATTATGTATGTTCCTGAAATTGAGACCCAGCCTATATTCTGTCTAAACTCTTGCTCAGGAGTGTCCCATGGTACAAAAGTCGAACAACTGGGGATTCTACATTCCCCAATGGGTACCCTGTTAGTTTATATGAATAAATGGAACCTTTTTGTGCACGAGGCAGCCACATTATAAGTGATTTCATTAGCTTAATTTCAACAGTCATATCTGTAGAACCTTAAAATTGATATTAGAAATTGAAATACACCGTATCGAGTGTATTTGATAAAATAAGTAAACCCAGAACCAGAATACTTGCAAGTCATAATAATTCGGCAAGAGTCAGAATACTTCGTCTTGGGTATACATGTGTTGTGTCATTAAAGACCAACTTGTATTTTACATTATATTTTATTAGTCAAGTTATATGATAGCATATTTGCTCCCATATTCTATATTCGTTGATAAGTCTACTTGTGATCAAAGAGTAATACAACCATAAACTCACCATTGTAGAGACTTATCAGAGAATATAGATAACAGCCCAGGTGCTGAGGGGCGTAAGTCAGTCTGAGTATGAACCTCAATTAAGAAACACAACTAAAGTTCTTCTGTTCAGTTTGTTAGCCAAATCATGCTAATTACCGACTCTGATACCTTTTAGTCCAATCCACAAATCCTCTCAAAGTCAAGCACAACACATGTATTGTAATAGACTAGATGCGAGTAGAAATAATCTTGATTTACGTCGTTAAATATTCAAAATTCAGTCAAACTGATGTCATATTTGAAATCTACATATAAAAGTACATCCAGAAATATGGTTTCGAAAATTGTTTATCAACTTTGAAAATTTAATTTTTTTTTAAAATGTGACTTCTACTTCGGGTTGCTTCCCGATAGACCCCATGTTACAAAATCACAAAAAGTGAAATATCTTTTCTTGTATTGGACAGATAACATTTTCTTTTACTGGACATATTTTAATTTAACAATTAGATACATAAAGGGATATATAAAAATTGAACCACTAAAACAGATGTAATTCAAGTTAAAGGGAACATTCTACTATACCCAACATGCTATCTGACCCGAACGAGCCACCTGGTGGTGAAACTGGTAACTAATTACTCGCATTGTACAAAGAAAAGTTTGGTTGATTTTAAACTAGTATCTTGTTAATGAAATAAAAGGCTTATCTTAATCTTCATCTATTTGCGGAGGTTTTGTTTTGATTCTTTAAATACATGTACTTTTTGTTAAACCAATGGATTGGTTGATCCCGGATTGGTTGATTTTACAAAAACTTTGTATAACTATAATATTGAGAGGTATAAGAAAATGTTGTATATGCTATTTTGTTCCAACAAGGTTCGGAGGGACGTTTTATTTCATTCTCAAGAATTGGTAAAAGGAACAAAAAACAATTGCACCAAAAAACGAAAAATCATAACAAAAACAGTTATATAAAAAATATATAAATGATTTTCGGCATTAAATTGTTGTCAGCTGCATTGCATAAACCGTGTTATTTACAGATTATTTCCATAATTGTGTTAAGAGAAAAACATTGTTGAATTCAGTTCACCATATCGATACCTATCCTTTTCAGACTGGAGCGGTTAAATAACAACTACTTTCAACCACTTTAGAACGTTTCGTCCAGTTTTTTTGTGTGTGGAATAATATATTCAATTACAATAACATTGCCGCTAAAATCCTAATACGATTTAGAATTAATTCATCTTCACAATGACATTAACGCATCTGATTGTAATTCAGTTGATCAGGCTCTTTGAAGTTAGCTAACAGATTTTCCTTATGGTAGAGTTTCTTTTTTCACGTAATGGTCCATTAATTTAACATGAGGTATTTATGTTCTCATTTTACCATTTACCTAGCTACAATTTTCAATTTTCCAATTCTTTGACAATACGTAAAAATCATTCAGACATGCAGCTCACATATGTTCACGGATTGGCAATTTTAAGCCTTTTCTGTTTGACAATTGCTAAACGAAAATGCAAAAGACCAAGAGAAGGTGACCAAAGTTCCGGACACAGAGCCATTCAAGCTGACATTGGGAAACTAAAGGATGCAGTGGAACTCTTGATCAAAAGTCATGTTGCCATGACAACAGATCTGAAGCATGATTCAACAAGTATACACGATGAGGTATCAAATCTTAGGAATGATGTGTCTAATATGAAAGCTAGTTTGACTGATTTACGAGACGGTGATTCCGCTACTAATTTCGCAAGTATAAGATATGTAATGACAAGAGATGATGTCGCAAACCTAATGAATATTTTGTCCGATCTGCGAGATAATGACTCTGTGACTGTGACTGAACTGAAACATAAGTTGAGAGAACACTTAACTGGCATTGCTGTAAAAGAAGATAATAACACGAAGACCGTTGTAACAGATAACTCAGAAGGTTATTATATTATGTTTATGTTTCTTTATTTGGACCATGAATTGATCATACAAATACAGGGTGGGCCAAAAAAACGCCACTTTTTTCAAGACACTACAACTTTTTTATTTTCCAACCTACATACCCCAAATTTAGCAGTTATATAGTGACAAGGGTTCTTAGTAATAATATAATGTAACAAGTCCTTAAACTTGGATTATATCTGATCTAAAAGGGGAGTTGAATTGGTCCGCCACCCCATTTGATGATAGATTTTAGTTTTAGTCGCTTTGCTGATATTGCAGTATCAATGAAATGTTAGCTAAGAGTTTTTCAACCCGTCTTAATTGCCAGCTTTAGTTGAGCAATTTTCTAGATTGGGTGCCTTCATACAATCTCCTGGAGACCTTCTCATACCCTATACTCACTTAGGCTTGCATCAGGGCTATTAGCATGGAGATTATTAGGCCATATAAGTGAAGGAACATTTTGCAAATTATGCTTATTCCTCATGGCACACAACATGTTTAAGTGAGACGCTGGTGACATATTTTATTCAAGTAAAAGTATATACTTTATGATCCATTGCTAGATAACAACCTCAAGTTTTATTTGGTATGCAAATTATGATTTAATATCAAAAATTAAAAAAGTTATAGCATTTTGAAAAAAGTGGCGTTTTTTGGCCCACCCTGTACATACTGGTATATATTAAAGTTAAATAAAATTATTAAATAACAATTTTACAGTGATAGTTGATGGTCGTGTACAGAACATGTGATTATATCAGTGCCCCTTGGGTTCGATGTTTGCTATTATGTATTGTCTTTGATGATATTTGATAAGTTTATTTCATATAATTTCCACGAAGAATAACTTCCTCTTAAATATCAGTAATTGTTGATGTTATACACCCAAAATGTATGCACATGTTATTTAAACGAATAGATACACGGCATTTACATGCAAAATGTAACCACCTGCCATTTATTTCAGACGCAGACCGCCGAACACCAAGCCCCGAACACCATCCAGAACAATACATGAAATGAAAATATTGTGTATTTTCAGTTTGTAACAAGTCATCTGCAATGTTTCAAGCAATTCAAGATCAGCTGACAGATTGCAAATATAATCGTCCAGAATCTGATAACCATGTCAGCAGTGTTTATGAAGGTAAGATTTAAAACACCTTAACCTCTAAGTGTTTTAAACATACGAGGGGTGATCAATATGTAATGTAACAATTGACTATCTATTAAAATGTTGTGCCTGTTTTCAGATACACCGTAAGCTATGGATAATTTTCAATTAAGATACATTTTAGACATGTTTGTTGTTCTATTAAAGTTTTTTTTCGGCGTTCGGCGCCTGTAACAAAGTGCAGGTGGTGACATTTTGCACGATAATGCCTTGTCTAGATGTACATGCGTGCTTTGTATTTGCAGTTTGTAATAAATCGTTTCACATGTTTGAGGCGATTCAAAAACAACTAAACAGCTTCCGACACAATGGCTTCGCAGCCCCAGACGATGAGATTTTAAATGGTATTATCATCATACAAATAGTGACTGCCATTGAGGAAAATAGTACAGGCTATCTGAGAACATGTCTTACAGTGGACGACTAATCCCAAAGAAGATTGACAACCATGATCTCACCCGATCTTCATTTGATTGGCATGGACCAATATTATCATAACGATCAACTCAAGAATTTAATTGGGGGATGAACATATGATAATCTTATAACCATTCCAACCAATTTAGTAAATCATAACGATCATCTCCACTTTCAAGAATTTAGTTGGAACATATGATTATATCATTACCAAATTGGTCCATAACACTGAAATGAAAATTGGGGAGGATTCTTTGCCTCATTTGGATAATTCCAAAAGTTTTGCACTATTTCCAGAAGATTTTGCAGTCACTTTTTGTTTGATGTATAACCCACCTACAGGCAAGAACTTATTCCCACATTTTTTATTTTTGGCCGCAATACGTTCCTCAAAGTTAGTGTCTAAGCACATCAATTTTACCTTTGTGTCTTAGGTACTGTACAGTAGTTCAACCAAGTCCACCAAAGATTACTCATCGGTTTCTTTCTTCTGATTTCATGATCCTTTACTGAGAAGTGTCCCAAAAGCATGTTTCGTTAAAGAGTCCGTGTAATATATTCACAATTCTTAAATTAATTATTAAATTGAAAAAGTTTCACATGGCACATTTTAATAACATTTGGCAGACTACAAGATACGCCAAAGTGGTTAAAACTTTATACGAGGCTTTATTGTTCTTCCAGATCCAATTATGGACGATCCTCTTCCTGGTTCGGAAGATTGGACTCACTACTCTGATGGTGTTCATAACATAACGACCAGGACTGGCACACGATTTCGTGCAAGATGCGAAGCTGGTTGGCTCATCATTGTATACAGATTTAACGGAAGTGTAGACTTCAATCTCGATTGGGGCTCTTACAAACATGGCTTTGGCAATATCTTTGGAGAACACTTTCTAGGGATGGAGAATATTGTGTCTGTGTTGCAACAAAAGAGATACAAGGCGAGGTTTGAGCTCACGTCATGGGAAAATGAGACAAAATACGCCGAATACAAGGACTTCGATCTAAATGATGAGAAAAGCAATTACAGGTTAGATATTGATGGCTATAGTGGCACAGCTGGTGATTCAATGCATACTCCAAGTCAAAAGCAATTCATCACGAAAGATTCTCATGACCGAACCGGTTCTAGATGTGCTGCGAGTTATGGACCTTTTTGGTACGGATGTAGTTGTAATGCACGTGCTTCTCTATTCGGTAAACATGCACCAGGTCCCAAATGTACATTTGCATATGGATGTATAAGTTGGACACATTGGCCTGACAAACTCTCTGGAGTTACAAGCAATGGCTTTTATTCTTTTAAAGAAGTAAAGCTCAAAATTCGGCCTGGATAAATATACCTTTTACGCATTCAGTAGGACTAAGAACAACATTTTGGAAAGCAACGCACAACACTGGTGGTATGGTACACTCCCTCAATGAGTTTGGCGAACGGAAGTTTTCATTGGATAGCCTGTAAATGTTAACACTCTATTGTTTCTTTCTAACAATTTTGTTCCTGAAAGTCAGTATGGCTAGGACTACTCAAGAGATTACTTTGTTCCAACTACTAAACGTTCGTCCTCGAACAACACTTTGCTCTCATATTGGATGGTTAAAACAGCTTCAAAATGGTCAATGAAACTGTGAAATGTGTTTTCTGCTCAAATAGTGTCCCATTTGTCATATGGTAGGGTTTAAACTTATAATCTCTCACTGAAAGCTTTTTCAAGATCATCCAATCTGTATCAACAATAATATCCGTCAATCACATCGGATATCAGCTTGAATCGGTGAGGCTTTATTTCGAAAGGAACCTTATGAAATATGTGGTGCTAACAACGAAAGGGGCGAATCGTTTAATCATCATTGCGACCTCCCACCACATATGTAAGTAACATCCCATTCATGAGTTTGACTATGATACTGCATAATTAAACGAGAAAATATAAGTAAAACAAAAGTTACATCTATTATATCACATTAAGAAGTAAATTCCAATTTACATGGTCCCTCATCGCAATTGCTCTATGTAATAGGACTAAATTTATCTGAAAGTGAAGTTCTTGGTCCACAATATTGTTCGGTTTGTTCCCCATCGCTCACCATATTATATGGAGCCCCAATTTGCGATTTGAGAATAAAGAAATTCATTAGGGAACTTGTTCTGATTAATCATTGTATACTGTACACCAAGGAGGGTGCAGGCAGTAATGCTACATACATTTGACTAAGTTTGATTTTGTTACCAATCCTTTAACGAGAAATAGTTCCCTGATCTATACAATGATTGATAATGAGTTCACATCTTAAGTTAAAAAAAGTCTTAAAAAAAGTCACAGACCAAAATCACTTTTGTGGGACATTGTCGTCTAGATCTCACTAAAATCAAAACTGTAAAATCTATCCATCTGAAAGGGACTCTATCCATGTGATTACAACCAAAACGCTCGCAGAAGCCAGGTGAGTGTAACGCAGCACGTCAGCAGAATAATATTTTTGCCGATAATATCGGCGTCACTGTTACACAAGCTAAATGTTGCATTATGTTTAACGTTTAATCTACAAACTTGCTGATTAAATGTCACATTTATAGGAAGCAGGTAATTGTTCTGCTCCGTTACGTTCGCCGAGAACGAGGCTTTACATTTTGGTTTTGAAAGTTCATGCGCGTCATCTTTTTGGCGGTTCAAGAACTGAAGAAAAAGCATTCCTTTGCGATGTTCTTCTCTAGTCTGTTCCTCCAATAGTTTGATCTGCAGAGGGTTGATGCTACAGTTCTGCTCAAGTAGTCCTTTGTATGCTTCATCGGTCCAATTCAATGGAATATGGCTTTTACGAGGGTTTTTGCAACTGATATTTGCACCATTAATGTCTTTTCCCGTTCCGTATCCAAAGTTATAATTAACGGTACCGTTGTCCTGGTTATAAAAGAACCGTATCATGAAAAAACAAGTGTCATTTCTAGTAGGGTCAAACTCGTCCTGGTTTTCAATTAGATACCGTGGATCATGCGTAACGTCTGCGCATGGAACCTTGAATCTGTTTATGGAGCCTCGTTCCGGGTCGAAAATATTCTGAACTGTCAAAAGTGGATTTATTTTATCGATATGATATGAACTTTCCGTGATATTTCCCTCGCTGTCATGAGATTGCCATCTATACACGGATCGATGATTTGTGTTCACGAGAACTTGATCCAGTTCCGGGTGATCTCTAAAAGCCTCGTATGCATTATAAGACGTCACCGAAAACGTTGCTAGAATTAAGATGAGTACAGTAAATCCACATCCATACCTTTGCCTCAAATCGCATTCGTATTGTAGACATTTTCGTCGACCACTAACGATGCAAATATAATACAACGCCTGTCCGGTTTTCCATAAGACGCTTACAAGACTCGCTACACATGATATTCTATTCAAAAGGGTTGGGATATGCGCCTTAAGAACACACAAATCTGACATAGACACCACCAACATCACCATTCCTATTGGCAAATCTTCTAAAATGAGTAACAGAAGGCTTATGTTCATATCACAAAATTCATAACTTTTTCGGAAAAGTGTTATGAACGGTCCACGCTTTCCAGAGAATACATATTTGACGTAATGAAGTTGAAGAAAATTCAAAAGTGCGGCAACGCAGCAGAAAGCTAGAATCGCATGCAGTGTCCTTTTACCAGCGTTCCCACCCATACTCTCATGCTCTATCGGATGTTTCAGTATCTCAGCGCAATTAACCCAGTCTGTAATTATATCAACAGCTCCAACTATAAGTGTCCCGAGAATTGAGAATTTGAGCGCTAACATATCACAAGTCTCTCGTAGTTTCGCTGCCTTCACGCTCAACGTATCTTTTGCTTTGGTCTTAGGTTTGGGCTTGGCACGAGGTTTAGTTGGCTTGTGTCGCGGTGACCTCTTTGGGATTGGCGTCATTTCCATTGCTTCTATATGTAGAGCGTCATCATCGCGCATGATTGTAGTTGATTGTTCCTTAAGGTTTGCAAGGATACTAGGTTGGTCTTGTTTCAACTGACCCATACCATACGTGTGGAGAATTGCCGCCGCCATCTTTAGTACGTAAATAGTGACTGGAATAAAGAATAACAGACGATACATTATACAACTCTTGCTCTCTCTATATGTCTAGCTTTCTTTCGTTTTTTGCTCAATGAACTGTATATCAATTTCTGATATTAAGTAAAATTAAACAGTTTACCAAATGAGTATCACAAGAATGACACCGTTCGTTCAAAGATTTGAATAAGTCAGTAGAAAGGCGAATGTAAAACTTAAAAAATAACTTGAAAACATGACCATTTTCCATCTCATTATCTCTTTGTCACATACATTACATGTCACCATCTGGAGTATGGAACTTGTAGTGAACAATCAGTATTTTCTATTTTCTACTTTCAGTTCATTTTTTGAAAAAATGAGCATTATGAAAAATGATATATTTTCATGTATTCAAGATGAGTAGTCAGTTTGGTTAATATTCATTCATGCATGCGAAGGGTCGATCATTAAAATACTGAAATTAGTTACGTTTTGAAGCCTTTCAGTCGATATTCCAAAAGATAATGTTTTGAAAAAAATTATCGCAGCCACCTTGCGATGAAATGGACATGGTTAATTCAACCCATGCAGACAGATCAAGGGCGTTACAATACCTGGGAATTTATCGGTTCGTGCAGTACTTGTTTGTGATAGCGCCCTCTGTAGGTCACTGTGCTTAATAGCCTACAGAAATACGGGGTAGGATATCGGGAATTCGGTCAGTTTCTATCCGTCGATTACGCTATGAATTGAAGCAAGTGTGACCACTTTATCCACTTAAACAATTTGATAATTGATCAAATCTTTAAACAAAATCGATAAACACGTTATACACTTCCCATCTCCTTAGAAATTAGCATGTATTTATGGATTGTGTTTTCGAGAAAGGCTCGACCCAGACCAATAGGGAAATCCTTATGCTAATTAGTATGACGTCATATTTTCCTGGGGAATCCTAGATTTCAAAGCCTCCCAGTCTGTTATTGTGTCAAATGTAAACGCTCTTTTGCAGACAGAAAATTGACAGATTAGCTTTTAACTTTCAGCTTTGATGTTTAAATATTCTATATTTTTACCGGACTTCTTGCTGAATAATATCATAAAATGTTATAACTTGATTTGGACCATCAGACCATTGCCTGATTGATCATTCTGAAATTTTGATTGTGATTCATGATTGATTGGCAAGAAAAATAATTCCTATTGTTTTCCAGCGAAGTCAAAATGTTACAGCATGAGTTATAATGTCGAGCCTCATGTTAAATTCTACAACACCCCCCCTCATCGGATACTTACTTTACCCCCGACCTTTACCCCCGCCTTTACCCCCTTCGTGCTGATTCGTAAGTGAGGTATGCCCGGAGGTATGCTAGGTTGGGGCCCGGGGGTTGGGGGCTCGTGCCACAGTCATAGACCCGTCTTACTTCAAATGTCTAATCCAATCTTGACCCCCAGAGGTACCTGGTGGGACAGGATCTTCTTCCAAGCCCTCTGGAAATTCCGGTAATTGGCTATAGAGACTCGAGTAAGTGGGAAGAAGAATAAAGAATGGACGGGGCCAGGCGATTGGTGCCCTACCAGCCCCACCAATTCACAAGCATACACATAAGAGACAAACACACCCAGGCTCTCCAGGCCGTGGATGGAAATATAAAACTATTCAAGGTTCAAACTGGTATTTAATAGACCGATATGTAGTGTCTGCCTTGTATTGAAGGTAAAATAATCTGCATTATTAATGTTACTTCTATCAATACATGGATTGTGCAATGGAAAAGCAATGGCACAATCAAAAATGTGCATATCAATCGTGAATATCTCTCGGTTCAAAGCTTATTTCCAACAGAATCGCAGGCCTGTCAACTGTCCCGCAATTTGCGTATTTGTCACGCATTTGCTGAAGAATTTGAAGTCACGCCAGTTATTTGTGCGTGACAAAAAATGTCACGCAAATACGCATTTTACCTGGTAATTGTTAAGCAAAAGTATTTCTGTAGAAAATTTTCTAAAAAAGATCGTCTACACAGCAAAAATACGAACGCCGGAAAAAAACGTACGCATTCCGTTCGGACTTTTCACGCGAATTACGTATATGTCACGCATTCCGTTCGAAATTTTTCGTACCTACCCCCCCTGAGACCAAAAACTATTTCAAATAACCCTCCCCTCATAATATTGGATAATCACATTTATGCATGCGCGCGCAGCTCATCCACTGAACGAAACGCCACTTCCCGCTGAAATCACCGGGTATTGATTTTTCCCTTGGACAGATCGCATAAGATTACATTCGTATGGTGCGAGACTTGACATTCACCAGGAAAGTAAAAACATTTTGTCACCCATGAAGCAAATTAACTTTTTAGTCCTTAATAAATGGTCAAGGACAGTTACATTGAGTTCTATAAGTATGAGAATAGCATACAGTCTTGATATTTCAAGGTAACTCCTTCGAAAAGTGATGGCGGTGATCGAAATTACGATGTAAAGATAAAACCGTAATGAAATATTTGTAGATTCCTTTGAACAACTAAGAAATATACGACATATCTATCCAAGAGATATTTGGAGCTAAAACATGTATGTCACACATCATTTTCTTCAGAAAGCATTATAGTGTGGATCGAAATCAAAATTGCAAGCATAGTATTAAATAAACATGAGTATCATGATTCCCGTTGACACAAACGCGAAATTGAAAATCTCCCGTTCTAAACCACAGCTCTGAAGCTGATCGGGTATTTGAAGTAGACCAAGTAGCGCTTGTTTTGGATGCGCGCTGTATACGGCATTGCTGCTTCGTTGTGAAAATATCGCTAGCTTAAACTCTATAATAAACCGGGAAAACATCGTTTCAATATGATGACGGAATGAGTAAATTATTTATGTTCCAGCTTGTATTTTTATGTCTGACTCAGAATCAATTTGGAATAAAGCAATATGCACAATATAAGTACGCCAAAGCATTAATAAACGATAGAAACGTAATATTTTCTATGCTTATTAGCTCACCTTTGAGGATTATTTTAATATATCAGATGTCCTGTTTCAGAGCATTATTGATTATAAAAAACAATGGGTATATGAAAAATAATCGCATGGGATCATCTTGTACGCATTATGTACGGTGCTACGTCTTGCACCAGCCTCTCTTCCTCATTTTTAATTTTTATCTACAAGCTTATGTGCATACTGTAAGTGTTTATGTGACATTTGTTCCAAAATTGGAAGTCGAAATCGATGGACTCTCATTAGAACAGCGAAGATTCGATAACGAAATTGGTAGCTATTCGTGACCTAACCTTGCTCTGTACTATTATGTCATTCAGACTTGTCTGTTTATAATACATTCCGATATTTGCATGCACTTTATAGCATGTCATCACCAAAACGCATGAAACAAAACGTTGTTGAGCTCATGTATTATGTACAAGTTTTATTGTTCAATGTTGCATGATAAAAAGTCCTAATGGAATGACTAAGGCAAAGGGGAGACGGGAAAAATCAATAAGAATGTATGAAGCGTACTGTACACTATATGCTATCCGAATTTGCATTAATACTATTTTTCTATGCGTAAGATATGCTGCAACCATTACGTTCTTGTTGATGAGCATTCTTGTTGTTGCTCCTTTAGAATGATTAAAACATCAAAATTAAATAATGAAATAAAATGTGTGTAAAATTATTATTAATCATGACAAACAAAATAATGAAATAAAAAATCTGTAAAATAATTTTTAAGAGTGACATTTGTTGCACAATTGTAAGTAGCATTGCATAAAATGTCTCAAATTACCTGCTCCTATATAATTTTATGTTTAATCCTTATTTTCAAGTCAGTTATCAGCGTATCGAGACTGTTGCACATATGTTCATTAACTTGCTAGAATTTATAGGGTCATGACGTTCTCCTATATTATTGTCTGTATATTCCCATGTATAAAGTCTTAGAGTCTATATGTAGATATCTCCGTGGCTGTTGGCAAGTGGTTATCACAAAGCGGCCATTCTTTGCTCAACATCCTCCACGATGATCTGCATTTGTTTGAAGTTGAATGCGACCCATCGTCATTGAGTAAGTATTCCATCAGTAGTTAATAGCGAGCTCCTCACTAAACTATTACTGAAAATTCCATGGTCATGTGACTAGACGTTGTCCAATCGGAAATATCGATTATGTCACGTGATCATGATATTGCATTGGTATTGCAAACGTTGAGTCAGCAGTGAATTGAATTACAGGCGATCGGGGAATATTATTGTAAGAATAATCGATACGGGCCTTTCTAAATTGCCAGACAGCTATACTTTATATTGCAGTCTTACAATAGCGTTGAAAGGTATGGTGCTGGTTAACTGTTGATTTGAGATCAGATGTGATATGTGAAACAATCCTTCTGTCTACCCATCTGCCCTGACAGCCCGCCTGACAGTATCTAAACTAATCTAAATTTTAACTTTATTAATTGGTACAGAAGATATAATAGTTTTTATAATCTAACTAGGTCTCAATGTTCATTTGAATTTGCAAAGCGGCCGGCTGTCATATTGGATTTGGACTTGTGCGCCATCTTAATTACACTGAACGAAAATCACTGAGGATGGGTTAATGAACAAGATTTCTCAACCAAATACATGTTGTTCCACCTGACAATGGACTCGGCGAAAGAAGTAGCTTACTTTCTATTAGGGAAAATAAACAATTGAAGTATCTATGTTATAAGCCTGACACTTATTGTTCCAATTATTCGTTTGATATTTTTGGAAAGCCCATCGCCAGTTTTAACCATTCATCGTTTCAAGATTTTGCCAAGTTCAAATGAAATATAATACATCAACTTTTGAAACTCATGTACAAGTTAGGAATTTGTAAGTTGTCAAAGTAACATACAATGGTACGTAACATAACGGACTTTCGTCAATGTAACAAAAGCGAGGGGCTAAATATATGAATTGCAACTTCATTTACAAAACAAATTCCAAATCGAAGAATATTTTCTAGCTTTGTGCCAAATTATAATCTGCAACTTGACTTATGAGTAGGTTTAAATCGAGAAAACAAAAATAACTCGTAACCAGGAAGTTCATCCATTTTGTCACATTGACGTTCCATCAAAGTAACTAGTTGTGGAACAGTGTAACATAATTAAGTTGATCTAGCTTAAACATTTCGAACCATTGTCCAATAACGCATAAAGTAAAATCGATATTTGCGCATATGGTGACCAAGATGATGAGTCCATAATTCTATTTCTATTTATCACACCAGAAGCACATTTCGTATATAAGCCAGGGTCTGTGAAATCTATCATGATAAAATTGCACTCCATTCAAATTACACAGGAGATCCCATCAATCATGCTTTAGATATTATAGTTGTTATCCATTACTAGTATCCAGGCACTGTTTTCTACATTGAATACGTTATCTGGACAAGGGTAACATTCTTTGATTACCGATGAAGTTATTTCCAATTAGACTTAGAGGGCTGCATTACTTTAAACATACGAAATATATGTGCAAGAGAGAAAAGGTCTATTTCCTGTACTACTTATGTACTACAAAGACGTTCTTGTGTACTGTAAGAACGTAGCAATCGATGACAGAGTTAAAGAATGAACCAGCAAAGTTTCAAGGAAAAAGTTTTTATTGAATTTAAGAGATATTATACCATGGGCTTTCAATAGAAGCCCATAATTATACTAATAACCTCATTTTAAAGGGCAATATAGTGAAATATTGGACCAAGCTAGGTCCAGTATTTCAATATGTTGCCCGCTGGAATTGGGTTGCAAAAGGCCATTTTGCGTTTGTTTGATGAAATGGGGATACATTTCCAAGTTGAGTGAATGATATATTTTCTTATAGATCCCGGCCAGATTCTTTTGTAGGCCTAGTAGGATCAGTAGCTCAATAAATATTCGTGAATTATTTTTAAGCCTATGAGATCCTACTACAAAACGATCTGGTCAACATCCATGCATTTTCTAATGAACGTGGAGTGATTTGAGGAGACTAATTTTAGCAGACTATGTTACTTTTGCTTTTCATATTAGGCAGATTGAAAGTAGTTGTCCTCTCTTCAAGTTTAGTTATCTCAAAATTTCGGTGGACAACCCATGGTTATATTGGAACAGCAAGACAGATAAGTCTCTCCCAATCACTGTGGTATGTTGCACTCGTGAATACTTCCCGTTAATTAGATATAGGGTAAAACGTTAAAATGGTCGCCTATGGGAATCTCTTCTCACATCTCCAATCATATAAAAAGCATTAAGAATATGGTATTAGAAAACGTTACTTATTTATTTATTTTCAACGATACAACTTACTAAGTTTACATAGTCACAAATTTTAAAACTATTACTTATTGTGAAATATAAATTTGAACCATACTAAGTTTCAGTAAATCTATACTATCACGTCATACATCATACTATTACAATTAACAACATGAAATAGTATTGTTACTCGTGTCTATCACACGTTATGTAAAATATATAAAATACAATATGTTTGATGGTACCCGGTGCAAAACGGACCAGGGGAGATGCAGATATCGTTTTTGTCTCGTTCATATTCCTAATGGTATGGTATGGTATGGTATGGTATGGTTCTTTATTTCCTCCAATTTGGAGAGCAAATTAATACAAAAAACAAATTATTAAACTACAATATATACATTAGATACAATAGATACAAAATAACAATATGTGGCGAAATGAGTAAGGCAAGGTAATATCTGCTTACGACGTGAATTCTTTAAAGGGTTCCGATAAGCATCCCGTATAAAAACAATATGGCGGCTCCAGGTGAATGAACTGGATCAGTTCATTTTTAAGAAATAAGGGGAGTTCTGTAAAATCCAGTTTATTGAAATTGTCTTTGAGATAAAGTAATCCGTTTATAATGATTTTGAAAACATTATCCATAGAGAGATTGCGTTCAAAGAATATGTACAACAGCCAATATAAATCCTTGTATTAGAACTGCTTTGTTTCATTTGTAGGATATTTCATATGCCAAGCTGTGTGCTATTACGTTATGGGGAAAATATGTCAATTTTTCCTTATTATACACAAATAGAAGCTCCTGAAACTTCACCCATAAATGTGGAATTGATTTGTCAAAATAAAAATCACCCTTTTATAAATATGTGACGATCTATAATAAACTTATACTATATAACAGTTAGAGGTGTTGACACAACGACCTCGAGCCTGTGAACCCTTGAGTATAATTCCGGGATCGGGCCTTTTATACTAAACGGTGAGCAACACCAGAAAAAAGCGTTCGATTTGCTAAACGATATGCGTCACCCTTTAAGCATAAACGAGTATATCAGAGAATTTCCAAACTGTTGTCATGTTACATGGCAAGTTGAAACTATCTCGCAGTCCATATATCAATGAGACATCATTTCAATTTTATACCTCAGTAAAGGCTTCCTGATACCCTGCGACAACTTAATGCCAAAATAGTTCTTATAAGCGGCATGTTACATGGTATTACATTGGATGTCCGTCTTCAATCGTGGTTCGTGTTTTGTCTGGAATATTTTTAAATATACAATGTACTTTCATTTTTATACCTCAGTGAAGGCTTCCTGATACTCTGCGTCACTTTTACTAAATGCTAACATAGGTCTCATAGGCGATTTAGGCACTGTGCTATAATGGGCGATTCGCCGGGAACGTGGAGTCCATGGCGAGTTTTGGGCGCCATGATTGAAGAGCGGGTCATTTGAACGCTCCAATAGCGGCGTTGGTGTGAACTGACGCGAATTTGCACGTGACCTGCTGAAATAACCACGTGATGCTCTCTCCTCCATCTCTCGCCTATTCCGCCTCCTGGAAATACGATATGTTTGATGTAATTTGAAAATATCTAAATGTCAAAAGAAAGACAGGAATGGGATACCTCAACACTAGACACTTTACTTTGCCAACACTAGAACACTTTACTATGCTAATCTCAGATGCTATCTTAAATGGAATGGTCATATGCATTTGGACAAATACCATAATGATAGTTGAACTAAAAATGGGTTGATATTTATTGGAACCATTACCATACGTATAGGTGAAATAAAAAATACACAAAGATGTAAAATCTAAAACACAAAATTCAAGGGAAGTCTAATAAGGTTTGTAATTTAACTACCAGATGAAATGAAATGAAATTGTGAAATTGATAAGTATAAATATATTGATATTATTATATAAATAAGGGTTATGTACTGGGAGGTTTTGGATATGGGGTTTATCCAGAGGGAGATATGCATATCTACCTGAGGGACCGTAGGGACCGAAGGTAGATTTGCATATCTCACGAGGGATGAACCCCATATCCAAACCGACCGTACATAACTGCTTTATCCTATACCAAGTAGAGTTTTCAGTGAAATTACCAGAAGCGGGAAGATACGCACCGAAGCGGGAAGATATGCACCGAAGCGGGAGATATGGCGGGAGATATGGAGGTTCTGGATATGGAAACCTCAAAATCAGGATACGGGATATATCTTACCAACTTATCTCCCTAAAACTCTACTTGGCATAGGATAAAGCTCAATATTTATACGTATTCTGTCCATTTATGGGCACATTGTATAAAATGGATAACCAATTTCCTCGAGAGTCCCATGATTCTTTTCTTGTCCAAGAATTGATTAATTTTACCTTCTCCTACGTTGACGAACTACACACGCAGTTGTAAAAGCAGCCATACAAAGCAGGGATAATCCCACGGCTGTAGTGAACAGTGCAATCAAAGAGCTACTCATCACGCTAACTGCCATTGGAACAACCATTGCTGAAAATAGCAGTTATACAAAACTCAATTATCAATCAAATTCTAAAGATATAGCAAAGACACAAGACTCTATCATCAAATTCTGAAGATGTAGTACACACGAGTCATACAAGACATACTAGACTCAACAATCAAATTCTGAGTATATATGCAAACGTACAAGACTCAACCATCAACTTCTGAAGATATAGTAAATATCATGCATACAAGACTCAACCATTAAATTCTAAAGATATAGTATACATACAAGACATACAAGACTCAACCATCAAATTCTGAGTATAAAGCAAACATACAAGACTCAATCGTCAACGTTTGAAGAGAAAGCAAACATACAAGACTCGACCATCAAAGTTTGTTGATATAGCAAACATACAAGACTCAACCGTCGAAGTTTGAAGATATAGCAAACATACAAGACTCAACCTTCAAAGTTTGAAGATATAGCAAACATACAAGACTCAACCTTCAAAGTTTGAAGATAGCAAACATACAGTACTCATCAATCATCAACTTTTGAAGAGGAATAGTCAATGTACAAGAATAAAAGACCCAATCATCAAATTCTAGTTTGAATTTTCGAAGCCATATTCACCGTAAGAGCAAAGTCTAGTTACTAACCATTAACACATTCATGTTCTGCCGTGGCTCCCATTCCTATGGTAGTGCCATTAAAGGGGCATCTTATACATTGGTTGGAACCAGTCAGTGATTGATAGAAACTCCTCTCACATAGGAAACATGCTGGTCCCCCTCTACTAGGGCTTACATAGTAGGTGCCCTTTGAACACGGCACTTAAAATAAAAGATGCAATATATTTGATGCATCATCAGAAAGCATCAATGCTCCCCTCCGTAGATTTGGCAATTATGATTTCTTATCAGATAGCATGATAAAGACGTGTTTTGTTTGAGTCATGTGTGTTTCAATTACATTAAGTTGCAATTCATGGATTTATTTGATTATGTAGAAAATCCTCAAATGAATAAACACAAGGAGCACATGTGTATCGAACTCGCAACCTCGTGGTTACGGCACCCAATCGCCTAGCCTGAACGTGCTGGCGCTCAAGCCCTCTCGGCCAACTCAACAATGTATTTATACTATTCTGTTAACATGCGATCAAAAAGAAGACTTCCCGTTGCCAAACGTTTGATGGGCAGTGTAGGACCTTTTGTAGTTGTACAAGGTGTAAAATGACTTGGAATACGAAACTGCTAGGTATTACACAAGGCTTATAAGATATTGATACAAGGCATTAACTTACAAAATGTCACCACATGCCACTTGTTACTTTTGTTATAGACGTCGACCGCTGGACGCCGAACACCGTCTATAAAAATGTTGGAGACTTTAACAGTATGTCACCACTTCTGGTGGTGACATAATAAAAAATAGGATGTTTCTTTCTGTTCTTACCACAATAGTAGCCTGCGTATTGTTTCACATGACCTGTTTTACAGACATGCTTGACTGTATAATCAATCGATCCTGGGTTTACACGTCGACCGAGGGCGAATAGGAATAGGGAACCATTACTGAATTTGCTCGTCACCTCCTCTGCTAGTTCCTTGAGCTCGGGTTCCACTATATCACTGTATTTTGCACTGTATGTCACCTGGAATAATTTTGGAATTTTCTGTATTGCTTGGTTGTTTCGGAACCAATTTTAAAATTAAATCAGGCACTTTCGTTATATACGGTATTGGTGTGGCAAAAACGTCACCACCCAGCCTTGTTAGTTATATTCAAAATAGTAACGAAAGTTACTAAAACATCAAAATCAAATTCAGCAAATGCAATCTGTAATACGAATCGAAAACTTCAACATCAAAGCCCTTACCCTTACTCCAACAGTGAACTCAGTTTGCCATTTTCTACAGTAAGATTGTGGTGAACTAAAGTTGCATAGATTCCGTTCCGAGCACTTCAAGTGACGACTTTTTTCCTTCATCGTGGCAGTCATTTGGTTCATGATGAAGTATCTGTCCTTACACTGTAGGTGATATGTCTGTTTATATTCAACTCTCGTTTGAGCGACATCTTCACTGAGCTCTGAAAATGGAATTATACCAAAGATGACAGCCAGAACATTTTAACTGAATATGAAACTGTGTGATGTCTTTAAAATAATTGGCCAATGGTGGCATTTATCGTTTTGCGATGTTCATCATCTTTTGAAGTAACCTTTTCTGGATTCGAATTATGAATATTTTCCGATTAAGAACACGTCAAATGTATCTTTTAGACCCATTCATTATCTCAAAAAAACACATATATAATAAAAATTGTTGACCTAATTTTCACCAAAATGCAACCTTTTATTATATTGCTGGATGCATAATTAGAATGTGCCTTGAGGCATGTTGTATTACCTAAAAGGAAATCTGGATTCATTTTTCCGGGGACTTTAAATATACTGAATTTGGATGGCCAAAATGAGCTAAAACCAATGAAAAGTAAGAGATTTTTCAATGGGGAAATACTAGTCTAATCATTAGAGGAATTCGATTTTCCTTTCAAGAACTATTTGATACATCAAAATAAGGAACAGTAATGCATTAACGTTGTGTAAAATTGATTGCATGCGTGTGTAAATGGGTTGATTGCTAAATGGCTAAATAGCTCCGAGTCTAATTGACTTTGATATCATTGCGTATACTTTTCTTTGAGATAATGTATGGATCTAAAAAACATACCTGTCTTCACGGTCAGAATATAGTCATAATCCAGTGAACCGAAGTTCAATACTGGGGCATACTTTGTAACGTCACGAGTGATGAACAATTGCGCTTTTCTGTAGAATTCTCAATGAAAAGACGTCAAAAAGCTACATGGGACATTTTTGTACCTTTTTCTTTCGCATCGTTTGACAAGTTATCATGTTTGAAAATGTTTGAAATTTTCCACGATCAAAATATATTAAAAACCTATTTCTAAAATGTTTTTATTTTGATATATTTCTTTATTTTAATGCGTGCACGTGATGGCTGGATTTCAAGTTTACGCATTTTTAAGCTAAAAATACTAGATGGGACATTTTTCGTACCCTACATATCATTTGATATTTAAGAAATTTGAAGGAAATTTAATATTTTTTCTTCAGATTTATTAATTTTAGCCAAAACCTTGTTTCTAATTTTAATTTCAGCCTTTAAAAGTAATTAATTCTAAAATAAATGGCATTTTGCTTTCCTAGGGGTCGTCAAAATACCCAGCGTGACGGCCTTTGGATTTTGTTTGCAGTAGGAGGACACATTGCCTTAACCCAACAGTTTTATGACGTGCACATCCGCGTGGGACTATATCTTTACAGCGGGGATTTCAAGTTTTTGTTAGTGCAGACATAGAAAGTTGCGGTTCTCATACGCGCGCGTTTTTTAATATTTTCATTTGAAACTTGCAGGAACGGTGGTTTGAATCTAGCTCTCTACTCTTTGAAAACGCCATGTATAATCAATACAGTTGAACCATTTATTTTTTGTCGTGAAAATATTATTTTTTTAGTTTATTTTTATTTTACAACTTTTTGGGAAAAAAATGTAACAATTTTTTATTTTTCGTCATATTTATCCGATATTTTGTCATCATGAAATTCGAGATTCTTTTTAATGATGGTGCAAATTTCATAACAATTGATGAATTTCTATTATCAGTGTTATGTTTTCCAAAAACGATGTACCACTGTGCATGTTTCTTTAATTGACGGCACATTTGCCTTTAATTGGGCGAACGTACAGGTCCCGACGCAATAAGCTTTATTTGATTTAATACACTCAAAAATAAAGTTTGCTATCAAATCGTAATGTTCATAAAACATAAACCTTGCCTTTGTTTTCCCAATTCTAAAAGCAGGCCAAATAAACTATGATAATCGTTTGACTCTCGAGACTACAGAACTTGAACTTGAACATACTAAAGTCGAAGTTACCTATAGTTACGCTTGTAAAGTTAATTACATGTTTAACGGCCTGCTGAGTGAATGTATCTTATCAAATTTGTGACATACCCATAAGATCGTAGATCACAATTCTAAGTTTAAAATGTAATTTGGATTCGTAAGAAGTATTTCTGTTTTAAACTTACCTTTGCTTACCATTGAAAAAGATCAATATTCATAGACGGGGATGTTGAAACCTATATTTCCTTTGAATGACTTGCATTTGTACTACGAAATGATCCTGTAGAGAAAAGTTGATGAATTCCAAACAGCTAGTTCTAGCAAATCTACTAGTATAAGCTTACTTTCTAAAAGTATTTCAATGTTAAAAATATCTATTCAAATGTTTCATTTTTAAAATGATCTTGGCTTCCCTTAACTTAAATGTGTGACTAATGAAGAATGCGTTTTACCACATCAAACATAAGACGTGAACTTGGCAATTACTCGATACATGTTATAACGCGATTTTCTTTCATTTTCTACAAAAATGGTATGTTTTCGAACGGTCACTTATGTTAATCTATGACCGTGGTATGATTGAAAATGAAAGAACTGAACCAAGTATTGTCGACTTGTTTGAATTATAAGATTTATTTTGATTGATTTAATCTCTTCTTGAATTTTAAAACTTTTGTCCCAATTACATCTGCTATGGAATTAAAGTTCAAATATACCTCAGAATTGCTTATTGAATTGACCTAGCAATTAATATGAAACTAATTCTTTACATAGGTTATATATCATAGATCATAGATATGTAAAAAATAAAAATGTGTTTTGAAAGATGAATTGATAACAAACGTTTTCGCACACGTGCCATTTCCACTTTCAGCCCATTTAAAGCACGAAATCCCGTATGACGTAATGTAACGAACATGCGCAGATAATTGATATTTTTTATTTTAATTCAACTCACATTGACCGTTCAGTTATGAACTTGTTTAAAGTTCTCATGTTAAAATAAATAAATATGTGGAAAGGCAATGGTTTAATTAAAGCTTATGAAAATGTCAAAATCATAATTCAGTTTTTAAAATATTTTGACATGCATTCACGCACATGTGACATTATTTCTTTTTGTGCGATTCAAACATAAAGATCTCATTACAGTTGTACATAAGAACCAATCTTAGCCATGCCTTTCTAATAGAAGGAACTAAATTTGAATCAAAACATAATTCTATGTAAAGATGATTCCCCATAGGTATAATAAATGTCAAAAATGTCAAAAAATGTATCAAAAATAAATACTCACACGCTTTTAACTGTTTAAGCACGCATGACCTTTTCCAGTTTTGCTCATTTAATTTACCTTGAAAACCAAGGAGACCGAACGCAATTTCTAAATACAACCTTGATACGTGTACCAGGTCTATAATTGCATTTTCTCATGGAAGGAACCAAGCAAAAATTATAAAAATAATTCTGCGTAGAGGTGATGCTTCACAAATAATATTAATGTCAAAAAATTAATTCATTTCTTCAAAATTAAATACTGACACGTATTTACGCACACATGACCTTTTCCAGTTTTGCATATTTCATTTACCTTGAAAACCAATGAGACTGGACGCAATTGCCAAATACTTCTTTGATACGCGTGTCAGGTCTATAATTGCATTTTCTCATGGAAGGAATCAAGCAAAAATTATAAAAATAATTCTATGTTAAGGTGATGCTTCACAAATAATATTAATGTCAAAAAATTAATTCATTTCTTCAAAATTAAATACTGACACGCATTTACGCACACATGACCTTTTCCAGTTTTGCTTATTTCATTTACCTTGAAAACCAATGAGACTGGACGCAATTGCCAAATACTTCTTTGATACGCGTGCCAGGTCTATAATTGCATTTTCTCATGGAAGGAATCAAGCAAAAATTATAAAAATAATTCAATGTTAAGGTGATGCTTCACAAATAATATTATGTCAAAACTTCAAATCCAAATACTGACACGCTTTTGCTTTTAGGCACACATAACCTTTTCCCTTTCGTTCATTTTATCTATCTTTAAAATCAGTGAGCCTGAACTCATTGCTAAATACTTTTTGATACGAGTCAGCTCCAGGTCTAAAATTGCATTTCATCATGGAACAAATCGAGCAATCATTATGAAAATAATTCTGTGTAAAGGTGATGTTCCAAAGACAATATATATGTCAATTTGATAATTCAGTTACTCAAAATGAAATATCCACATGATTTTACGCACACATGATAATTTCCTGAATGACGCTACTTTTTGGATTCAACCATGCATGTAACGTCGTAAAATACACATTTCTACCCACATTATGCCCAGCCGTTTTCGTAGAAAATGTAACAAATGAAGGCATTTTATCGGAAATGATTGATATTTGGTACTTATAAAATATCGTATTTACTTTAACTTTTAAGCGATTCAGACTTTTAAAAAAATTATGTTTAATCAATGTTAATTTCGCACGAATATAGGGTACAAAATGAGTGAAAGTCTCACGTGTTTGATTGCATTTTACTCCCATTTATGTGCATTTTTCTAACATTAAAATGAGATAGTTGGAAAGAAGAGATCAGTAGAATTCTATCCGTCACTTTCATTTTCAAATGTTTAAATGTTTCCCGTTTCATTGAACCTCATAAAGATGGTAGCCAACGGACCAGAAACAAGTAGTGCGATGACGTCATATATCGCTACACCACTTTGATATAAAGTTTGGTAAACAACAATGGGTTTTTTCAATGTGTCGTCCTACGTTGAAAAATCAGCGTCACATTCCATTGTTACCTTAAAACTAATGACGTCATAATAAAGATCATTGTCTCAGGAAGTGATTCATACCTGTCTCATCAAAATTGATGAAAAAATAATCATTCTACATCATTTCGAAAAATAGCGCGCTCCTAAAATGTTACGCGTGACGGCATATTTCTAACGTTTTAACCAACGAAGGACGCTCTAAAATGCTCTAAAATGAAAAATTCCATGTAAATTATACAAATGAGGTTTTAGAGGGTACATATACGAAGATTTTGATATATAACATGAGTATGTTCGCTTTCCGAACTTTCCCGATGTTTACATGGTAAGAATATGGAACGTCAAAATTTGAAATATGCCCCAGTATTGAACTTCGGTTCAATATATAATCGTCTGAAATTGTTTGCGATAACCTACCTGAACCTTTTGGCTAGATGACCATTTCCACCAAGACTTAAAAATCAGATCATTCCTAAATCGGTTGTACTGGACTACTTTAATATGACCTACTTGTACACTGGGGAAGGACAGCACGTGGATTATCGGGTGACTGATGAGGCCATAACCAATGGGTCGCTGGTCCACACTGGTAAGAATCCATAATAGAAGTACTTAGCCCATATCCGCTGCGGCACGATAGCTCACACATCTTAACATACTGAAAATACATTTAATCACAGACATTACAAATATTTATATGCTCATATAAGCGATCTCCTGATTTTCAAATCCAATTTAATTCAATTCTAAATTACTCACAAATTTCTCATTTATAAACATATTATATAATCAAAACATTAAAATAAAAAATGTCACAACCTGACAAGATATTGCAAATGGTATAGAAATGCAACACTACGTTATAGACGCCCAACATGGACGCCGAGCGCCGACCGCAACAACAGCCATTGACTATCATTATTCATTGTAGGACATAAAATGATCATATAATGGACTTACTGCTGTATCTTCCGGTGTTGAACAACCCAACATCCCATATGCGGGAACGATCAGCGTGCTGCACTCTATAAATCAATTTTTACATATTATTGCATATACGTTAGTTGTTAATCAGAAGCTCTGATGAAATGAATTCTCTATCTACTAGTGTTGAAAATGAATGTACGAGTAATAATCTGTTTCAAGTATGAAATACACGTCGGTATAACATTTTCAGAATGTATATATTATGGTACGTTCACACCAACGGCGCTTTGATGGCGCTTTAAAGCGGCTTGTAAAGCGGCACCAAAGCGTAACAAAGCTTAATTAAAGCGTCGGGGTCGTAATAGGTCGTAGAAAAGCTCGGGAGTAAAGCGGGATATTCGGCAAGAGCGCTAAAAAATTTAAACTGTTTAAGCGTTCGCACCAACGGCGCTTTGATGGCGCTTTAAAGCGGATTGTAAAGCGGCACCAAAGCGTAACAAAGCTTGATTAAAGCGTCGGGATCGTAATAGGTCGAAGTTAAACTGTTTAACAATTTTGGGCGCTCTGTTACGAATTGATTGAAGCGCCGAGAGCGTATCAAAGCTTAACAAACCGTAACAAAGCTTAACAAAGCTTGACTCAAAGCGTAGGAAAGCTTAACACAGCTTGGTTCAAAGCGGGGACCCCAGTCTATTCACGGTCTGTTACCACTTGACACGCTTCGTTAAGATGTCTCAAGATTTGCTACGATCTGGCATGAAGATCTGACACGAGGTCAGACGCTTTCATCAATATCTGACACTCTTTGTTACACTTTCCTGAGGGACTCTCAAGCTTTCCAACGAATTGAGACGCTTTAATCAAGGATTGAAACGCTTTGCTAGGCTTTGTTACGCTTGAAAGTTTTCACACGCTATATCACGCCGTGCGACAAACGTCATGTCTTCTTCAGATAGGTCATGGTCTGGTCCATCTGGAATTTCTGGATCTCGTTGTTCTGCCATCGTGTTCTCGAGTCAAAGATGCAATGGTTTTATGGATCTACTGCATCTTTATATAGTCATTGGATCAAAAGCGGCATGGAATCGGCGATCTCGACATTTTCCAATGCGTGACAGAGCTTAACAGAGCGTAACAATGCACAACAGAGTTTTGCAATCGTATCAGAGCCTGATTTAAAGCGTCATAATCGCATCAAAGCGTAATAATGCTTATCAAAGCTTTTCAAAGCGTGATTTCAAGCGTAACAAAGCCTGATCAAAGCGGGATCAAAGCGCGAGGAACCTTTTAGAGCTATGTTAAGCTTTCCTACGCTTTGGATCAAGTTTTTCTGAGCTTTGTTAAGCTTTGATACGCTCTCGGCGCTTAATCGATTCGTAACAGAGCGCCCAAAATTTTTTAAGAGTTTAAAATTTTTTGGCGCTCTTGCCGAATATCCCGTTTTACTCTGAGCTTTTCTACAACCTATTACGACCCCGACGCTTTAATCAAACTTTGTTACGCTTTGGTGCCGCTTTACAAGCCGCTTTAAAGCGCCATCAAAGCGCCGTTGGTATGAAGAAAAATGACAAAAATGACGGCGCTTTGCTCGCCGATTTAAAGCGTGACATTCGCCGTTGGTGTGAACGTACCTTTACAGACAAATATTTCAATATATTCAGCAGAATTTCTTGGCATCATTTACCAGTAATATTTCAATAAACAGCAAGCATCGCAGGAAAATATATGATGCTCAATGTCACGTGTGCGTGTTCAACCAATCACGGAATGAGAATCATGACTGTGAGATAATATCACTTATTACACTAAAATGGGCAGAAGCAAGAAAAAAGAAAACCTGGCTTGGTAGCAGAGCATTACCTGCACAAGGCTGCTGTTTGCATGATCTTTGTTCAAGGGTTGGACCCTTACAAGGCGCACCGTCATTGGCTGTCTCCGGCCAGTCACATGACCTATGACGTAGCTGAGTGCCATCGTCACATAATTTCGAACATGCTGACCAAAATGACCACGCAGACCATGATCCATTCACTGTAAATTGGGGCCAATAAGATATATTCTTGTTTTAATATAAAATATATGATGATCAATGGTCAACATGATAACATGATGTTAATATTCATATTACGAGTAAATCATACATTTTTTATTTCTTAGTTCATATATTGCAATATAATTTGTTATTGTATAATGTGATAATTAGAGGTTATGTCACTATCGTGGCATATATGCCCGTGGTCTCAGTGATATATGGCCCGACCTTGGGAGGGACATTGATCTCTGAGAACCGAGGGCATATGTGCCACGATAGTGACATAAACGATTTATAACATACCTATGATGATGTAGACTGGTCAGAGAGTACCGTTTTCTTATAGAATTGACAAACAAATGGTTTGAAAATGATTGAAATGAGTTTAGAAAAATTGCTCGCGCAGTTTTATCATCGATTGATTGGTTATGACGTCAGCGCCTTGACCAATCAGAAAGTTACTGGGCGCGGGCTTTTCAAAACTTATATTGGCCCGCTGTCTTGTGTACATTTTGCACTATACATCATCATAGGTATGTTATAAACCATAATATGAAATATGGTAAAACCTTTAGCTTACCATTATAAGATTGACAATGTTCCCCCGAATACTGCCGTCCACAGATACATTGATACGGGCCATTCACAGTAGGCTGACACGTACCGCCGTTTATACATTTGTGTGAAACACAATCGTGGAGTTCACAGTTTTTACCTATTGCAGGAAAGATGAAGTATTTTAAAAAGGGCATGGCGAGGCAAATAAAATCAGGCGAGGTTAAATATTTTGTTGACGATAATTCTTACCACGACACCAAAAAAGAATTCAGATGATCACTGTACATGCTGTAATAAGGTTAGAATGACGGGGAGGTGGGGGGGGGTACATTTCTGGTCCTTGAAGATCGGAAGAAAACAAACTCTGCACCGTGGCATATACCACCATTCAAACTACGCAGACTCGAAAAACATTAATCTATTTCAAAAATATAATTACCTGTGCTGCCAGGTGGGCAGATGCACGAAAAATCATTAAATGCATCGATGCATACACCACCATTCAAACATCGCAAACCTGATGAACATTCGTCTATTTCTGAAAAATTCAGTATTGCATTTATATACCAGTTCACCAATCATGCTTCATTTTGCCAGTTTTTGACATTTGATTATCTAAATATATAATTTGGGAAATCCCATTTTGACATTATTTTGAAACACAATTGTTAAGGATATTTATTGAAAACTTTGAATTATAGGTATATATTCGTCATTTTGGGCATTCAAGAGATAAATGGACACAAGGGCAGGAAAACACAATTTAACAATGATTAAATTTACCTAAACATTCCGAAGACGAAGTTGCTCCAACTAAAACAGAGGCGGTACCATTTGGGCAGACCTTACATGTTTCACTCGATTCCTGATCCTGGTACGTTCCTTTGGGACACTTCTCACACGCATCAGTAATCTCAGAAAAGAAGCTACCAACACCACAGCCAACTAAGAATATTTAAAAGATCATTTTTAGATTCGATTCAGAACTTACAAGAGATGATCTAATTTTCTCATTTGGGTTGTTTTTTCAAATAAGATAAAATTATCTACAGGTTTTCATTGAGGATATTTGATCTACAATGACCCCAAATGATATCCACCCCCCTCTCAATTACTATATCGGTAGCTTTTATATTCATTCAGACATGAGACTACTTCGACGGAAAGGCTTATCCCCGAGGGCCATACTTCTAAACATTTACGTTCACGTTTTCTTAGAGAAGTGGAATTTCAACTTCCCTTATGAATAAAACCAACTTAACCCTATATGCCATCTATTTACAGTTCCCATCGATTCACGGCATCATATATTGACGTCATGATGAGTAGTCCGGTGGAAAGTATTTGATTAGAGGAATAATGTATTACACAATATATATATTTATGAAGAGTCCATCTATATGAAGAATGATGTATCTCACGTGTAAATACACACAAATGTAAAATAATTATGATTTAATGTATAATTATAATGCTCCTAAACACGTTAGCTACAAACTGATCGATTTCTCTGTATAATGATATACTTATTAGTTCTTTGAACCGCCTCGTATTTACTTGTTTGTATACGTATTTCCTATAAATGATCAATATATTTCATGGACATGTTGCCTTCAACATTTTTGGTTACACAAAAATCATTGATGATTGTCATGAAGTGTGTAATTGTAAACTGAAGAATGGTAGATAAAAAGTCATAATCGATATATTGACTACCTTTAATTTAGGATGGGCTCAATTTTGTCGACGTGTATTATACTCTTAAAATCATCTATTCCTGATCAAGCTATCAAGCTAATATCAAATCTAATAAGATTGTTCGTAAATTACACTATCGAAATGTTTTTAATGCATGCAACAACGCTACGTCCCCCTCGGACGTTCCCTTTGAAAATGTCAACATCGTTTTAGCATCAAAAATGTATTTCATATTTGATAGTCAGAGGACTGTGTGAATAGCAAATTGATATTCATTCAAAATATAATATTGGCTACTCCCATCAGGTATTTATTTAGCTTACCACATAAAAAGGTGGATGGGTTTACTGCGTAACCCGGTGGACATATCGCTTCAGCGAACGAGGATGTAAGGCTATCGCTCAATATTCGCATTTGTATCGAATGTTGCATGGCCTCGAGTTTTAAGTCTCCGACAACAATATCATATTCCAGCTTTTCATACAAGTTGTTTAATCTCTCCCTTGCGGCATAGTAGTCTTCAATAAACAATACATTATTGTTTCCAATTTCATTTTTGGACACATCTGTTCGTAATTCGAACGCAACAACCATAGTATAGGGCAACTCTGTAATACTGCGCTTACTTAGTGCAGAAAGTCCGTGGAGTGAGCTTCCATGGCTAGATACCTTTTGGCACGTTATTGTAATATGAGCAACAGAGCATTTTAGATTTAACCAATGCTGATTTGTGCAAGCATTTTTGTAAACACCAGTTCGGAGAGTGGTTTCTAAAGTGTGTCCAAAATGAGCGATGTCGTCTTTTGCCAAACCACACTGATTTGAAGAGAAGTACACTTTTGCCTTCAGTCTCATGTATAGGGGCACCTTTGGCACTGAAGAACAAACGTATATTAGAGATATCTTTTAATACAAAATATCAAGGGCTGAAGAAACGTATATTAGAGATATTTGTTAATCCAAAATATCAAGGGCTGAACAAACGTATATTAGAAATATTTGTTAATACAAAATATCAAGCGTTTCATTTCTAAAAAGTTAATATTGGCAAATATGTTGCGTTCTCTTTTTTATTGACACAATAATATAAACCTCCCTCTCTGTAAATAGAAAACATTTGAAATTGAACACATGGAAAACAAAATGAAATGTGGTGAGTACATCTATGTAGTCAGTAGTATTCCAAAAGGTGTTTCTGTTATAAACTAAATGTAGCTGAGATTAAGTAACATGTGTATTTTTTGTTAATTTTTTATATGTAATCCAACGTATTGAAATTCATATTTTTATGACTAATTCCTTGCTACAAGATAACAACAATAGTTCTATGTCTGCTTTCAACTGATCAATGAAATGCCCTTACATCAGAATGCAATGAATCAGTTCTCCGTTTTTGTTTTGCGTTGATCAATGAAATATGTTTCTCGAACCCAGACGAATTAAAACTGAGATTTAAGTCTATCATATTGATCTCTCACCCATTTTCTTTGTTTAACGCATACCTACGCAGTTTGGAATACGCTCAAATGGACTCCATACACCCGTTGAGCCACATGTGAATTTAGCGTCATATCCAATCATATTACGGGGCAGATCGTATCCATGAAGGCAAGATAGTTGACATAACTGACCCGAAAGCATCTCTTTGCAAACGAGAGCGCCAAATTCTGGCTGTTTTAAAACTGGGCACCTTTGACCTATAAATATATACGAAAATACATATATTAACAAACTATGCAAGGGTTTCCATCTTTCTCTTCCATACTCTTGAAAACGAAAGAACAATAGACTTGCAGAACAACCCTATATTCGTCAATAATCAATATTTTGATTAGATTCAATACTATGTAACGATTGACGTTAATTAAACGTCTGCTTTTGAATAATACAACACAAAAATCTAAGCATAGATACAAAAGACGTGCAATCGAGAGCAATGGATCATCATTGAAAGGAAAATGATTCTGACGGTTCATTATTGTTATCATTTACTATAAAATATGTGCATTCTAAACATAAATTTTCACTTTTAAAAATGTTGATTAATCGAATTTAGGATTTCCTTTTGAAGAATGGGTATGTCAAGACAAGAGAAAATCCAAATTTGATTTCGATGGAGAATGTATACTTTCAGAAAAGCCATCTTAAAACCTAATATAAATCTACCAAATGCATTTAGTTTAATTTTACTTCGTTTTATAAAACTGTTTTAAGCTTTTAAGCACCAGACTCTTTTAGTGACACGTGCTAAAACCACGTGTTAATTGTATGTTAACGACGTCGTGTTTTAAGGGAAGTAATTATAAACTATATTACTCCATGTTTTACTTATTTATAGACATGAAAATAATTTAATGCATTAGAAATCTAAAACTCCCGGGGATTTCACACTGAATAATTTGGGTGGGTATGTGTAGCACGGGCAATTTTGGCTTGGGGCATAAACCATGTAACGTGGCCAATCTGAGATTTGGCGCGGCACATAGGTATATTAAGAGGTATGTTTGAGTCCCGAGGTTTGAGTGCCCCCGTGCTAACACTAAAATATAAAATGTACTACAGCAAGTTTCACCAATAAATATATGCCGAAATTATTGCAGCAGATTACCTTAATTAACAGAAACACCTTTCATGGATGGGAGTATGTAAAACAAATTGATGTACTTTACTGAGTGGCACAACATCATAAATCAATTATAGATTACTCACGCGTTACAGTCACTGTGAAAGTGCAATATGCAATGGTTAATAACTCCGGTTCAACAGCACGACACGATATGACATGTTCACCGATTGATAATGTGGCATTGGCATCTCTGTATCTTCCGCAGTCATACGTGAGGGGGAGCCCAAGACGGTCCAAAAACAGAGGTTTTGGAAGTGTCACAATGGCGTAAAAATCTTTACTCTGGTGGGTGATGTTAGTTGGGCATTCAAGTACTTTTGGTTTGACCATTACTGAAATGTTATCATTAGTTAAAATATATGGAAGTTCGATTAATAAGTACACTTTTATTGAATATATATTAGTACTAATTATTGAATCAGTCTACTAGGAATGTATATTGTACTTCCATATTGTTTCATACCACGCTGTCGTGGTTTGATTTTATCCCAATTTCACAGCTTGAACCTAGACTTCCTCATTTTATTTCAAATAACTTGTAAAGAAATAGCATAAGTATAAGCTATACCTTCACAATAGGGTATTGTCCCAGACCAAATTCCATCAGCCTGACATACACGCATTGATGATGAAGCAAACTGGCTGAGGGGCAAAGCGTATCCCTCGTGGCACTTGTAGATGCAATGATCTCCGTATGAGTTGCCTTCACATATCACATCAACATTGGAGATTTTAGGAAGTGCAGGGCATGTTACCACTACAAATACAAAACAATTTTGGAATTCAATATCCAGGGCTTTTTGTCTACGTATCAATTAAAAAAGCCAGGTATTTACAGTTAGCAACCCTAGGAAGTTCTTATTTAAGTTCAGACATTGCCTGTTACTCACTACTTGTCACACCTAAATTATACAATGACCAACTGAGAACACAAGTTGTAGTGGAACAGTTCTTTTCTTTTTCTTGTGCTTTCCTTTTGATTAATCTCAATTTCCTATTTCTTTATCCATAAGACGTATACAATATGCATATACAGGGTGGGCCAAAAAATACTCAACATTAAATCAGGATAAAAATAGTTACGTTCAATATGGTACATATTTGCTATGTTTGAAAATATTCAACCTTTAAAATGATATACAGTATAAGTCAATGTACCATTTTGAACATAACTATTTTTATCCTGATTTGAAGTTGGGTATTGTTTTTTGGCCCACCCTGTATATTTGGCGAAACAATTAACTTAAAAATGCCGACTGCTTAGTTTGTTCAATGCGTAATTTAAGTTAGCCTCAAACAATCTGAAAGGATGGCCGTGATGTGACTAACTGTATAAACTTATTTTCGTTTTTGGGCTAAATATTCATTCTACAGTAGTTTTCTTACTTTTTAACTAGCAGAGTTGGATTTGGTTTCGTAAAGATTGTAAATTTACCTTTGCAAGTTGGTACTGGGGACCAGTGCCCATCAGATGAACATGTGAATTGTGGAGTCCCAATAAGCATGAAGCCAAGATGGCAGCTCAATTCACACCTTGTACCCCAAAGGAAGTCATTCTGGTTGGTGCATCTTACAACTCCATTGTTTGGGTACTCCAATTTAGGGCAACGTATAACTAGAAGACATTGAACCTGTTATTATTGAGCATTCTGAAGCGGTGAAAGGAAAATAAAGCTATAATTACGTACCAAGGGTCTAAATAAAAGACATGGACGTGTTATTGTTGAGCATTTGATTTAAGGAAGAGAAAGGTGCATATTACCATCCTTGTTTTCCACGACATACCTGTTATATTCATATTGAATGAACAGTCTGCCGTGAGACCCCTCTCATCGGTGGCTCTATACCGAACATCATGAGACCCGGCCTCCATCACAGAGCCTCTTTCCAAACCAACTATCTGGTACACACCGTGACTAATAAGAAAAGTGATTACATTTCTTGAAGTAATTATCACACACAATATTTCGAGTTACGAATCGGTGTATCCCAAAATGAAACATCAACCATTTCGCTTTTCCAAGGTACGAGATCCATAGACAGTTTTATAAAGACAAACTCATTGAACGACCTAGTAAACAAATTAGAGTTAATTAAAGTTGTCAAAGTTGAGCTTATAAAATTAGATTGTCCTATAGAATCTTTGCTCATTATGTTGCAATATATATATCATGAAATAGAATATCAAATCATGACCATAACTAGGCAAGCAGAAACATATAGATAAATGTGAGACACCACTCTCTAGTTTTACTTACGCGCAGGTGGCTTTTGGTAGATCCCACATTATAGAGACATTGGATTTGTTTTCCGAAGCAGTTATTTTGATGTCTGGTGGACAGGTAAGTGATAAACAAGAACCTGAAAATAGGAGTCACCATAAGTATGATTACAATCTCGGGAATTAACAAACTTGCTTGGATATATTACATACGATCGTATACATGGTTGATTTTGTTCTCCATGACGTTTTTTGTTATTTTCCTTTGTCCAGTGCATCATTGGTTTTTAAAAATGTCGCGGTGCACTTTTATATATACTTTTTTACTTTTAGGTATTCAATTTCCCTACTTTGTTTACAACATGGTAATTTAGATATTAATATTCTCTCAAATAATTCTGATGTAATGAAGTATTGCTTTCGAAAGTATTGATAAATGTTACTTACCAAGTTTTGTTGGAGAATTCCTATTGCAAGCAACTGTAAAGATTAAAAAGGACAAAAAGACATATTTAAAAGTACTGTATGGATACTTATATCATATCCCTTTTCATACATACGATTACACGAAGTAAAATCTTTTGTGTGGTCCAAGGAACAGAAGTAAATGAAATATAGAAATATTATAGAAAAGAAATACATTTTTCAGATAATAAGATGGGTCAAATCGATAAAAATCCCATGGTGAAAAATTGAGCTATAAAATATAAAATGATAAAATAAAAGTATAAAATGAGCTTTTGAAGGAAAATCACTCTTTTCACATCATTATTTTGTCACTGTTTCTATTTACTATCAAAATAATCATTATTTACAGTACTTTAAGACTTTTAAATTGATCCTTTGGTATTATCTTATGCAATAGTGACAAAGCATAATGGGCAATATTCGAAAACGCATAAAATATAACAAGTCAAAAATGCAGAAAATACTGAAGAGTGATCTTATTAATATACTTTATTGAGAATTGTCTACAAAAAAGTTTGCAAAAATGTGTCAGAAAAGAATATTGAGCTTTTTAATTTACATCACAATGAGAAAGAACAAGGGGCAACATATCTGTCTCCGTATAGGGGTTACTGAGTGATTGCAGTTCACTCATTCAGTTCCCTTTGCTTTGGGCATTTTATTAGCAAATGTTGTTTTCCGCCTACTGATTGTGACTTGCATTTCTTCTGCACAATATGCAATAAAATTGAGCTGGATTTCTAAATATGAGCATTGGTATGATCAGCCAGTGAACTGTGATAATAGTATTATAAAAGAATTATTCATTGACAAAATGAGGCCTGTCATATGAAGATTAAATGATTGTACAACAATCATCTCAATTTTGCATATAGATTTATATGAATGTGTGTTTTAAAGAAATTAAATGTTATTATGTTGTTTAGAGCCATGGTAAAATATACGCTTCTCTAGAGGTCATGCTTCAGTGCAAGCATAAATATTAGTTCATGAAATGATAATATGAAATGAGAAAATATATTTTAATATATAATACACAATTGTCACAATCACTCTAAGGATTTTCAAAATGGCTGACATCATTTTATTTCATGCTGAAAATTCGATAAAAGTTACATTTTTGCACAACGCCTGGTCCTCTATTAGATCTTTTACATATATCAAGAAATACCTAAGAAGTACACTATTCTCTCACTACATATAACTTTCTAGGTAAGAACCATGTGTTATATGAACAAAGCAAGGAGGTAAAAATAAGTAGGTCAACACAATTACAAACATAACTAATCCCTACTCAATGGCTATTGAAATATGACTAAATCTGTGCACAAAATATTAATCCAATGAGTGTATAGAATGACACAATCTGAGACAGATAAAAAATTCACATTTTCACTGGAAGTGATACATACCTCCCAAATCAACCAAAATATACTTATATCAGTCATCTTGAATGTTTTTATTGCTATTTCTTGAAAATATACATATTTATCTACAATTTGATCCTACATATCAAGGAAATTAACGACATTGCATTTTTCAAAAAAATGTTAAGTGACCCCAGGAGTGTCATTCATTCTTTGGTAAAATACAAATATTTTAAAATGGCTCACGTTTTCTCATATTGATTCATTCTCTAAATAAATATAAGCGTCACAAATTGTGTCACAAATTTTAAGTTGGTTATTTTTAATCAGTTCATCAAAGTATGTGAAAAAGTGGTATTATATACAAAGTTTTCAAAAATATTTCCTCCATGTTCAGGAGTAGTCATTACTCACCTGACAGACGAAATAAGATTTTTAGTATAACTATACGCAATAGTATTCCTTCATCCGATAATGAAACCATCGTTAACCCAGATCAAACCTTTCTTTTGGAACCAATTAATACGTTTACACATTAACTCCTTTATACGTCCATTCCAAAAATCAACTTATCTTTTAAATGTATGCGTATATCCAACATAATATGTATAAACCTAGTGGGTTATGTATAATTGTTTATCGGCCACATTATTGGTGATCAATTGGTTTGATCGACAATTATTTTCATGGTACCCGTTCTTCTAATATAATCGTTCTTTGAACACAGCGGATACACATCGTTCTTTGTTATATAACCAGTCAGTTTGAAACTCAAATCTTGGACTATCTTACATTTGTATACGAAAGTAGTGTGGTGGGTTTGCAAATTGATTGCCATGATTTAGTCGGTAATCTTTAAAATAAAAGTCCATCATATGTCTTTAGGGGTCATAAACACAGATAAGGTGTCGAAAATGCAAGATGGATAGATAAAAACAACAACAGCAATAAATTGAACTACCTTTAACTTCATGACCTGCATGCTTATTTCATAGCTAGTCACACATCCATGCATTAAAGGCAGAATCAGAACTAGAAAGGATTCAACAGACGACTCTCCACAATGATATTGACGAAAATGGTTTTAATTTCAGAATATTTTGGGCTCATATCATTTTTTGTCATGTCTATTTTCTAAAAATAACCGAGGTGTAAACTGTAAACTGAAATGATGTTTACAATAATACGTTCATTTTTTTATTTTATGGTTACCGTTTCTATTATTTGGGAGAATTTAAACATCCCCCATTTTTGCATTTTGAATCTTAAATTCAATAATTCACCAATTGATAATAATATTTCACGGATCTTTCGAGATTTGAGCTTGTAAGTAATACATTGGCAGGTGAATTGTACATATTGCATTTCAACCTCTATATAAATCTAATTCTGCCTTAAGGTTAAAATGAAACTCATAATCGTTTTAAGCCTTCCTCTGTGAGGGAGGATTAAATGCAATATCAAAATCATATCATAATACCCATATTAAAAAACAATGTTTGTGTTCACGTAATTGAATTAATGTTATTCGTTCTCATGGCGATTTCGTTAGTTAGGATCTTAATTAAGCTGTTAATTAACGCACCTAATGCGGTTTAAACTAAACAGTATTAATTCGACATTTTACAAATTAATACAGATTGCATAACATTAATCTTTGTAATAAAGCGTTTTCAACATCATCGTAAATGAAAATTGATACGCCCCAGACGAGCTCTGCTGGTTGAATCAACATGGGTGCATTCGCATGCATTCGCTGTGTTCTTCTTGTTTTTATTATCACGTTTGGATTTGAAATCGTAACCTCTCAGGTAAGATACAATAACTTCAGATAAACTGTTTATGGTGGTCACGATAGATGATGCTAAACCTCTGAATTATCTAACAGTCCAATTGCACTTTCAATTACATATTATATGTCTAGTCCTCGAGAACTGGCTATTGTTGCTTATTTATTTTTGTATTTGATTATTGTACAGGGGCTCGGTACCTATTTCTTATCACAACTTTTATACATTCTTAGTTTAAAATAATGTTTTGTTGAAAGAATGGAATGTGCGAAATCCTTAAAATTAAAAATGATATTGGCTTTTGACTCGTATGTTCATCTATGCTAATTTACGTAAACGTGAAATGGGGTAATGATTCATATTTTCCCAAAATTAGTGATTAATATATTTGATTAATTTATTTTGAACAAATATCATTACTGTCGCATATTTGCGAAATGAAATGAATCTTGTCGGACTACTTGTTTTGAAGGAAAACAGGATAAGCACTTTTTATAGATAGTTTTTAGTCCATATAGTTTCCAATGTCCAAAATAATAAACACTTCAGACATAATATTATACCTTCAAAATACAAATATTACTATATATATAAATATTAATATTTCGAACTTTTCTAATCGTAAAAATAATTTACATGCTGCAAGAACTTGACCAGAATTAATAAACGAAATGGTATATCACAAGTCCTTTTTGGGACTCCCTGTTTAAAGGTGCAATAATTAGTGCAGAGGGGTCATTCAACGATCATGGACCAGTGTCAAAATATATTTAAGTTTGGATATTTCATCAAGACTAACATCTATTTTTATTATCTACAAAGAAACCCCCTAGATAAACATTATTTTAGCTAATATTCCTCTTGAAACATGGTGGATCTTAAAAATATAAAAGTGGAAGTCCCCTTTTTCAAGCTTTGAACTGAATTTACACTTCTTAATGCTGAAATTGATAATTTATCCATACATTTTAAGAAAATAGGTATGTCAAAGAAGATGTTAAACCAAATGTTGCCTTGATAGCTCAGAAAAAATGAAAAAACTTTCCTATTTTCTCTACAGTCCTTATTGCCCCTTTAAACGAGGGAAATTGAGGCGAATACATTTTATTTGTATGTCATACATTGTCATTTTGCACTGACATCTTATTCAATGTTTCCCTGAAACGTAGCTCTGTTCCCGTATATCTGCTTCCCTTCAATATGGAAATATCGAGCCGAAATGTTCTAAGAGGGGATGTTCTGAGATGACAATAAAGTGTTTCAGCTGTCACAGACTAGTTGGTCCCAAGAAAATTAAATGCATTAGAGGACAATGGTCTCCATTAAGGAGCGCGTGCATCCGTAAGCAATTTGTACTTTTGTGTTCAAGTGATATATACCATGCTTTAAATGGAAATAAATAAATACTGTTATTTTGATTATTTGATCTTTTATTCATCATGTAACCCGCAATAATCTAAAATAAAACTACTGATGATCATAAAATCCCGTATGAGTTAAGTGAGCCCTAAGCGATCCTTGCATATAGCTATAGGTTAATTCATTTGTCACAATTAAAGCTATTTTCTGCGAACGACCAAAGTCAGGAGCAAACACAAAAACTTCAAGTAATAGCACAAAATGTGGGACAGAAATAAAGGTTGAATGCGCTGCTGGGTATGGTCCCTCGCAAACATCTAAGATGCTTTGTAAACCATCGAAAAAATGGAAGGGGCAACCATTAACGTGTTCAAGTAAGTAATAGCATAAGGAATCAATAGTGACGATAAATCGCCAAACACCGAGTTCTAAAGATGAAGTTATTTTCAAAACATGTCATATTAAGTAAGAGGGGTGATCAAGAATTTCTGGATCGTTGGCTCTATTTTTGCCACTTTTACTCCTTTCTTAGGGTCTTTTTTGCACAATATGACCCAAACATATAGGATCACACCATGAAGATATCATTGTTCTATGACATCACTATCCTATTATTTTCGTACTAAGGTAACCGGTGATGAAATAAGGTGGAGCTCAAAAAATATCAAATTTGAAAAATCAACAGTAATTTTATATGATGCTTGGCCACTGTATTCATTGCTATTCATTGTGACATATTGTAACAAGTTGTATTATTTCATTAAAGGCGCACTATACTCAATTTAGAATAAAAAATAAAAAATAATCATTGAAACATGTTACTCACACACTCGCTCAAATATGACACAAAGTTTGATTTGCTTTAATTGAACCAAGAAAAAAGTAACTCACATAGAAAAAAGCATTTGAAGTTCAGAGATCATTAGACCTGCATGCACATGTTAAACAAAGTGCATGTTTTAAATTACTATTGATTTAAAAGATGGCGACACTTCTATAAAAATGAACGTATCATGTAATACAAACAACTCTGCCATCTTTCAATGACATCTTGATAAAAACTTGATATGTAAAGCTTGATAGATCGAAAATATTTTTTGATAATTTATTGTAAGCTTTGATGTGGTCCATTTGAGCTGTTGTTGGTGTCAAATGAAAGATGGGGTTCTTATCAACACCTTGGGCATACTATGAAATTTAAATGTAAGTCTTTAATTTGCCCAAACATGTTGAAAATTCCCAAAGTGCGCCTTTAAGTATATTCATTAGTGTTAATGTTTACAAAATGCTGGTAACTACTTTGAAGGATTGGAATGGATGGAATAATAATGACAGTTACTATGAACCTTTTCACCCAGTCCTGAAGACGTGATACAGACCGCTAAGTCTTGGGAATACAGTGTGAGTGGTACACGGCCACACGACCGATGGAATCAATCACATTTAGTGTGAGGTTTGCTCTGTGGGGTGGTACGTTATCATGGTGTAAACGAAATATCTTGAGGAACTCCAGACCCCTCTTCCACATGCACTGTATTTCCAAGATCTCGCTGGCTGTCATTCTTTCCCCACAGTGGATTAGAAGAGAAAATCATAGTATCCACCTTGGGGACAGTAATGAGATCATTCGGGAATTCACACACCAATGTTACAAAGTAGACAAAGATTAGAATTGATGTTACTAGTTACTGTGAAAATTAATGAATATGTACTTATTAATTAATAATGAAATAATACAGCCTATTACAGTATGTCACATATTCAGCAATGATTACAGTGTCCAACCAAAAATACTGTTGATTTTTCAAATTTGGTATTTATTCTGAGCTCCACCTTGTTGCGTCATCGGTTACCATGGTAACATAAATAATAGGACAAAGATGTCATACAACAATGACAATCCTATACATTTGGATAATATTGTGTGAAAAATCAATGAGAAAGGATAAAAATGGCAAAAATAGATCCAACGGTCCAGAAATTACCCATTGTAAGTAAACTCTCCCTGCGCTTATTGCAATGAAATTCTCTATAACTTCAGTCAAGATGTTACGACCAATTTTGGCCCACTGCGCATTTCCGGAAGTGAATTTGATTTTGCCAACTTTGGATTAACCCGGAAGTGTACGCATCCAAAATCCACTAATTATGAATGAATGACAGCATGTATGATTATTAATAACGTTGTCAGTCGACTTGGAATGGAGCTATCTTGTGCTTTGAAGCAAATTATTTAAACTCTATCGATATTTAAAGTCGAGAAAAGGAGTTGAATTGAGGCATTTTTTTCGACAAAGAAATTGCTCATTTTCAGGTCGATTGACAAGTTTGTGAATGTTTTCACCTACCTAGATCGAAAGAGCGTCCAAAAGTACGTCTAAATTGCTACTTTTAAGTTATTTGGTGATGAAAATACAGTAGAATACACGCTTAATGTTTTGAAGCTTCGTTCGCTCGCTTCCGGTTATCTGATTTTTAAAGTACAGAAAGACCACCCGGATAAATAAATAATATCGGAAACCCAGTGTGCACAAACTCAATGTTGCAATATGATAGGACTATCTCTGATATATTCATTAAAATAAGCCCAAAAATACCCACAGGAAATTTCCTGTTTTATTTTTACATATTTAATGAAAATAGTGAATATTATTTTTGAAAAAACGTGGTGATAATAGGTACCATTGAAAGCTATTTATATGACAAGTGACAAGGCATGTTTGCCTTACAATCACGATGATATTACCTTTTGATGTATATGTAAATGATTTCTGAAGCAGTTTCATATGGAATTATCTTACATTGAACTATAAAAGAGGTGCTTCATGTTTTATACAATCATGTTTCCGGGCATATGGAATTACTGTATGAATGAAATCAGGGAATTTTCCAAACTTGAAAGTCAATAATGAAATCCAATTTTTTATGCCTGTATTTGGGCATTATTAGAGGTGGACAAAATAAATATTCAGACCTGAACAATAAGCTTTTTATATGTATATGACTAGATATTGAGTTTTCTCTGGGAAAAGTTAATTTCCATTTAATCTTGGATACTCTTGTACAAATCTATGCCAAAAGTATTGTTTTTAATTTTTTTCTTTTAAAAAATTCAGTGTTTATTTACACATTCATGACATTAGTCTTGCTTTGATTTTCCACACTGCTAACTTGGGAAACTGCCTTAAAGAAATAATAAACAAGAAAAATATATTATTGGTAATAAAAATATTATTTCTTATCTATTGTTAACTATTTAAAATGGACAGCATACACAACTACATATTTTTATACTAATATTTGAACAAAAAACTAATACTGTTTCTGTATCAGGCTTAAAGTGTCTTGTTCCTGAGCAACATCCAGATCTCCACATATGTGCACTACATACTAATATCTATACATATGAATAAATATATTCAAAATAAATAATACTGTCCCTAGTGTATATAACAATATCAAAGAGTAGATAATATGATATTCTGAATAAATCATAGGATGTTCCTATTATCTTACACTCTTACTAGTAGGGTACTAAATGTATAATATCATTGAAAAACAAATTTCTGGTCAAATAGTTCAATTTAAATAGTCACAATATCTTCCGCATATTGGTTTTTCTGGAGTATATCGCCACAATATCCTCTGCAGTTCGCATATTTGTTTTCTGGAGTATATATTGGCGATATCTCCCAGTTATTATTTTTGTCAATAGATGTCAATTTCATTTTTAATGTTAGTGTAGGATAATGTCTGTGCAAAATGTCCTTTCTTTTTGTTAAGCTATTAAGTGGCACACTGAAAGAATTCTATTGCTTTGATATGCATATCATTATCCTTATGTTTTTCATTTTTACTTTTAAAATAAAATTTTACACGATAAACACAATAAATAAGCTGAATGAATAACAAACACAATTTACTACTAAATAGAGGCCAGCATATTTTGTTCAAATGAAATATTTGAAATTGTGCACTTTGTCAAACTTAATTTCATATAACTGTAAAATTTTTAGTACACTACAAAATACATACTAAAAAGTGGATGGAGACTAGTATATTTTGTTGTAGCATATACATTTTAAAGCATTTTAAATTGTTACCATTGTCATTTTTCTCTACCATAAAGTATAAGATATGGTGAACTACTACTGGTATTGCTTGTACTTGGGCCTACTCTATATATCATGATCTATATATTTTTGGAAGTCCAAAGTATCAAATAGTGATAAATTATGTGAATATTCCAGGTGTTAGGGTTTGCATCTTTGGACTGTTTCCCATGCAATGATATAAAAATATGCCTTGTCTGTGTAAAATCACTTTATGTACATATTAATGTTATCAACAGCTTATTATCCAATCTTTGGATGGCCTATAGTGTATTTACACTACTCTTAAGTAACTTCTTCTCATAAATGTATGGAATTGTATGTGAATATGAATACATGTAGTCCAGGTATCAGTTTGCATCCATGGACTGTTATATGTAATGATGTAAATATATGCCATGTTGGTCTCAACGTTTTTTTCATCTACATTCTATTTGCTATAGTCAATATATTCATTATTCTGTTTGGAGGTCATCATTTTCCGAATCAGAATGTACCTTTCATCTTCAGACGATGATGAATCAGACTGGAAATCGACTTGTAAAGTACAAGATCCTTTAGGATTTTTACAATCTTTGCACTTACATCCAGGTCCACATTCTTTATTGAAGCTGTTACATTTGCATCTCCTCGTCTTGCAATGTTAACTAAAATGGCTGAAAATAAAAAAAACTGATATAATTTTTTGCCGATTATTTGTAACAAAATTATTTCATACAACTACTTTTCACATTGACATGGATTTTTACAATGCAGGACACCTGAAATTATTTGTAAAGCTAGGAAATGGGTCAAAAGTGAATTTTGCGGAAAAAATAGCGGCCATTTTGAAAATTGGTGAGCTTTTGAACCAGGAGTCATAGAAGAGTTTTCTGTATTGATGTTGAACAGAATCCTATTGACAGAGGTTTTAAAAAATGCCACTATTGTTGACAGAAAAGTGGATTTCGCAAGTCAAATGGACAAATCAATGTTAACTAAAATGGCTGAAAATAAAAAAAATGGATATAATTTTTTGATGATTTATTGTAACAAAATTATTTCATACAACTAATCTTTACATTGACAAGGATTTTTACACTGTAAGACACCTGAAATTATTTGTAGAGCTAGGAAATGGGTCAAAAGTGAATTTTGCGAGACAAAAATGGCGAGAATAGGCGAGCTTTTGAACCAGGAGTCATAGGGGGGTTTTCTGTATTGATGTTGAACAGAAATAACTTAAAACGGGAATTCTATCGACAGAGGTTTTAAAACGTGCC